TCTGCGCCTCATGTCCCAGCATGGTCTTGTCCTAGGTCTCCCTGCGTCGCTTCCTGCCCTCCCTCCCTCGCCTGCTCCACCGTGCATGCCCTACGTCGAGGGCCGGCTGCGCCGTGCTCCTCACTACTCCTCGCTTCGTCCTGCCACCGCGCCCCTCCAGACCCTGCACCTGGACGTCTGGGGTCAGCCCCCGTCCCTGGACCGCGTCGTGAGCGCTACTTTCTAGTGCTCGTTGACGACTACACGCACTACACCACAATTTTTCCCTTGGAGTGGAAGGCCGATGTGCCTGACGTTCTGATCCCGTGGGTCGTCGCTGCGCGCCTCCACCGCGGTCTCCCTGTGTTGTGTCTCCACGCCGACCATGGCGGCGAGTTCGCCTCTGGTCGGCTTGGACAGTTCTGTCGTGCGGAGGGCATAACCCAGTCATGGAGGTGAGCGATGGGGTCGCTGAGCAATGCATCGGCTTGGTCATGGAGGTGGCTCGTACCTCCATGACTCATGCCGGTGCACCCCATTTTCTGTGGCCGTTTGTCATTCGCTACGCCGCTCACCAGCTTAACTTCTAGCCGCGCTCCCAACGGCCGCAAGTTTCGCCGACCCTTCTTTGGACCGGATTCCCTGGTGACGCGTCCGCGTTCCTTATCTGGGGCTGCCTCGCTCACGTTCGTGCCTCTGGCACAGATAAGCTCACTGCCCGTACTGTCCCCTGTGTCTTCCTCGGTTTCCCCCTTGACTCGTATATATATACGTATTTGTATGTATACATATTTTAAGGTTTCCTGCCAATCGGTTCCATCATGCGATCGTGATGGTTTTTTTGCGGGAAAGTATATCGGTGCTCAGTATTAGGGACCTCGACAACATGTACGGTCAGTAGCACGATATAAAAAAATCAGAATTAGCGAGTTCGCAATATGATTCATCAGTCGGGTTCCACCGTTAGTCAGAAACAACAGGAAAAAGGTTCCATGAATGGCCAGTAGAAGTAACACCCCCCCGTCTTGGAACTTTTTCCCACCCGCGCTAGCCCAATTTCGTCATCATTGTGGCTGGCGCAATATTTTTCCCGAGCTCCAAGCGCAGTTTGAGCGGAAAAACACAAAATGCCCAAATGGAAATTCATTGGAAATTTGTTGGTCGAGAAACATGAAAACACGATTTTGTTTCGAAGCACATACTTTCGTCACAGAGGGTAGCGCTGTTAATTTATATCTTATAGATCATTGTAGGCTTTGTAGGTTTTACTGGAACCAACAGTAGAGGGTACAACTCCTTCCTTGTATCCCTCTCACTTCTAGTTTCTCTCTCTTCTCTTTCGATATTTCTCTAGCCCAAAACCTCTCGCCATTCTATGGCTTCCCTAGCTACCTAGTTTCCCAACATGGTTTTAGAGCGGGTTGCTCTTCATGGGCCTGCTCATCACGCTTCCGCCGCGCACTCCTCCTCTCCCTCTCGCGCTGCCATGGCGGCCACGTCGTGCTGCTGTGGCGACGTCGTCGTGCCGCCGGGCGCGTCGTGCTGCCGCGGCCGTCTCGACGCGTTGCCGTGGCGTCGCGTTGTCGTGGCGTCGACGTCAAGCCGTGGCGGCGTGACGGCGCCGTCGTGCTGCCGTGGTGACGTCCTGCCAACGCGCGGACGGCAACGGCCAGCGCCCCGTCTTAACGCTGGCCAGCACGCCCGCATCCAGCCAACGCGCCACACGGGGTGGCACGCTTCCGGGCTCCGCAGCTGAGGTCCCGCCCCCTTCCCCTGCGTCCCCTCTTCCTTGCCGCAGCCGTCGGCTAACTCGCGCCGGCCGTCCCACCGTCGCGGAGCCTGGCCTGGCCGCCGAGTGCTGCGAGCTCCCCCGCCGCCGGTAGCTGTCGTCGAAGCCGCCGCCGCCGCAACTGGTGCCGCAGGCCACGTCGCCGCCCGCCGCCGCCGCTACCGCCGCCGCCGCCGTCGCCGCCGTTGCAGCCGTTGCCCTCGCTGTCGACGTCGCCGCCTCACGCGCCAAGGGGCTAGCCCTGCAGGAGTAGCCGTCGCTGCTGCTGAGTATTGGGGTGCTAGGCTTAGGGGGTGTGTGGCTTAGTGTGCTTTCGGCTACCAAGCCTAGGGGGTGTGTTAAATTATATCCTATATATAATTGTAGGCTTGGTTGGTGCTACTGGAACCTACAGTAGAGAGTACAACTCCCTCCTTGTATCCCTCTCTCTTCTCTCTCGATATTTTCTCTAGCCCAAAACCTCTCGCCATTCTATGGCTTCCCTAGCTACCTAGCTTTTCAGCAAGCGCGTCCCGCGATTATAAAAAATGGCGGTTTGTCTCTGCCGCATTTTCGGCCCTCAAAAGAAGTCAAGCCATAAACTTGTTGTCATTCCCGAGTTGTCCGAAAACAATAATATATATAGATAGCTACGGAGGTCAATTTTTGGGCAATGAATACGTTTAAATGCGTGTCAAGCTACGATAATTTCAATGCGGTTGCAAATGAATAGTTAAGCGGGTCAAAATTAAATGCGATTGTATTCAAAATTGCATTTAATATATCTATTAGAAGTGTGCTGGTTGTCTTTTGATTTTTGTCAACAAATGTATTTACCGGAAAAGTTTTCCGCTGAATTACGACTCTACAGGTCTTTTCATGCTAAAAACAAATTATTGCACGCCCACTACAGTTTAATATTTACGCCTCATTGGCTTAGCGCCGATCTCGGATAGATTTGCCATTTCATGTCAAATGTTTTCGTTTTTTTTGTGTTTGTTAATGTTTGAAAAATGTTGCGCCTGATGTGCGACCTGCTGTGGCCCAATTAGTTTATGTGACATAAATACGCAAGGTCTCAATTTTGGAATTTTGTGTAATCGACGTCCAACGATTTTTTATTTGGGAATACTTTACGTAGTTCTCTCGAACTGAGCTTCGAGCTTCGGAAAAATATCGCGCGAGCCGCAATGATGACGAAATTGGGCTGGCGTGAGCGGGAAAACGTTCCTAGACGGGTGGGGGTTACTTCTACTGACCATTCGTGAAAAACAATTTCCCTGCAGTTTCTGACTAACGGTGGAACTCGCTAATTCTTGTTGTTTATATTGTATTACTGATCGTACATATTATCTAGGCCCCTAATACTGAGCGTCGATATACTTTCCCTTTTTTTGCTCATAGGCTTTGTATTGGTAGAAGATGAGAAAATTGTAATGTTATCATTAATGCTAACAAAAATATTTTAGAGCGGATTTCTTAAACTCGAAAGTTTCTATCGCGAATAGATTGTATGTTTGACCCCATATGTCATCCACCCTCTACACTTGGCTCGCTGTATTTTCACCCCCATAATTTTCATCCGCGGGGTCGTCAAAGGGTTGTCACGCTCCACTAGACTAGACCAATGAGTTTCGCAACTCCTAGAAAAGATAGTGAGTTTGGGTTTCTAGATGATTCATGATTCAGTATGAAGACTCCATTCTCTTAGTTTGATACATAATAGTGGACTAGTGTTCCCGCATTAGTAAAATTTCTAAGTCTCAGACTCCCACTTTCTGTTTGGAGACTGCGAGTCACTCGTTCGAGCCCATCGTGAACGCGATAATACTCTACAAATCATGTTTTACTAGTGCAAGCTCCGCAAATATAGGAAACTGCACGTAGCGAATACCCCTATGCTTAAAACGCTTCTGAGGTTGTAGGGACTTTGTCGCTTCAGTACTGTAGAGGGGCGGGGAGCCTATCTGATGCGCCGACCATGTCTTCGTATGCACGTCGCCCGATTTTCGCCGGGAGATTCAAATACTGGTTTCATCGAGGCACATAGTTTTGGGCATGACAACAAGAACAACGCAATTGAAACGCCGCAACTATCGTGTACTCGATTACAGTCTGGTTCGACAACAAACGGATGAAACACGATGACACCACTTTCTTAAACCCAACGAAATATCAGCAACCAAACCATTATTAGCACACAATGTTGCCCGTAAACCACCACTATCACTGTGACTTAATATGATTGGACTGGCTCGACGGATTACGTCTCGTCGTTAGGACGGATTCTGTCATCGCACATGGTGCAATCGGATTCGCTATTTTGCTAAACCAGGGCCAGGTTTTGATTAGGTATAGAAGCTCATTGGTTGGAGATTGAAACCTCTTGCGATCGCTGGGCGTCGTTGACCTTTCCGCGGGGGTCATTAGATCGAGGAACGAAAATAATTGGGAGTCGTACGTTAACTGTATACGGACGTGCACTCTTTTTGATTGGCTGGTTACATATTTTCCTACTTATATGGAGTTTGTATGTAGGGAATAATTGCCCATGTGAAATACTTGCTCTAGTCGTCGATGCACTAGTAGCATATGACCTGAATGCGGACCCAGAAAAGGTCAGGTTAGATTCGGAACATTTACTGCCGCCCACTTTCACAACGTAAAATTACAGCGGTCCAGGTGTACTTTCCCGATTAGGGTTTCTTCAAGCACAAGCCTTTTCAGCGAGGGAATGACTAAAAAGTTGCAAATCACAACTTGTATTTCTTTTGGAGCAGCATATTCCTGCCCCCCTGCTCGAGCGCGACTCGAATTCCTTCTGGAAGAATCGATAAGCAAGGTCGTGTCTACATTAGGTATAGACCTTGCCCTGAGCAGATGTCACTTGTGGGAAATAACATAAAACCCTTGGGGGCCGTGCAAGTATTTGGGGTGGCACAAACCCTGAAGTCCCACAAAATTCGCTTGTTTAGTGTTGATGCCATCCAAAATAGCATGCAGGAGCTCAAGGGTTTTATATTTATTTTTGTCGTAAACAAATGTAACAGCTGGCAAACTTGCAGCAACCAAGACGACAAGGGCATTAGGGTCAGAGCTGTAAACGTGCCTCTTTCTTTTTCCTCCAAAATCAAGTGGGGTCGTGCTTGGGCAGGGCGATAGGAATATGCTGCTCCGGAAATAATTTAAGTTGCGATTCGCAACTTTTAGTCATTCCCTCCTTTTCCTCCATCTCACCTCTTCCTCTTCTTCCTCTTCCTCCTCTCCTGCCCTTTCTGTTCGCCTCTCATTTCCCTGTACCTTTCTTCCTCTTCCGTTTCCCGAGCGCTCCGCACGGCTCAGCTAGGCTACTTGCCTTCAGCTATCCGGTTGGTAGATTTTATTAAAGCCTTCCTTACCACCTAGATCTTGCCGATACAAAATTCGCCACCATGCCGGCCACGGCGGGCCGAGTTCGCATGCCGGCGAACAACAGGGTGCACAGCAGCGCAGCCCTGCAGACGCACGGAATCTGGCAGAGCGCTATTGGCTACGATCCTTACGCTCCCGACGAGAAGAAAGCGGGGGCCGAAGGCGAGGATAACGCGTACGACAGCTTCCAGGGATTGCTGCAGCTTGCGAAATTGACGGGATCTGGAGCGGACGCGGCTCGCGGTTCGTGCAAGAAGTGTCACCGCGTCGGACATTTGACGTTTCAGTGCCGGAATTTTCTGACGGCGAAGGAAGACGTTAACGTTCCGGCGGAACTTGCCGGCGGGTTGGCCGGCCAGAGACGACCCGGGATGGAGGTTGCGGAAGAGGAGAGTGACGTGTCTCTTAGCGAGGATGACGGTGACGGGGATTTGGCGGAGGCTGCCCGTTCGCGTGGTCTGATACCTTCTAAAGCGCGGGATGGGGATTCAGAGATTATGGAGAAAAAGAGGAGCGGTTTAAAGAAGAAAGACAAGAAGAAGAAGAAGGAGAAGAGAAAGAAAAGCAGCAGCAGCAGGAGAAGGAAGTCGAATCGATCGGATTCTTCGGACGATTCGTTATCCGACGACTCGTTATCGGATAGTGACGACGATTCGATATCTTCGGACGACGACAGGCGGAGAAGGAAGAAGGGAAAAAAGGACCGGAAGCGGAGCAGCAAGAGCAGCAGGAGCAAGAAGGTTTCACGCAAACACCGGAGGCGGAAGGACGACAGTGAGAGTGAGAGCGAAGCGAGCAGTGAGAGCGAGAGTGAGGAGTTGTCTGACGACAGCGACAGCAGCGGAGGGGCGAGGAGGAAGAGGAAGCGGAAGGACAAGGAGGGGAAGAAGAAGAAGCGGCGAGCCAGGGACTGACCTGCCAGCGTGACTTTTGGGTTGACTCAAAAGTGAGAGTGAGAGTGAGGTGACGGACGACAGTGACAGCAGCGGAGGGGCGAGGAGGAAGAGGAAGAAGAGATCATACAAGGACTGACTGGCCTCAGTGTGCTTTCAGCTTTCCGGATCATTCGTCCTCCTTTCTGTTTCTATGGTTTCTCCTAGCATGTGGTGTTTTGGCGGTGGGGTTTCCCAGCCAGACCATACCGTAACTCTTCTGAAGATAGGTTGTGATGGAAGGTTGCCCAACTAAGGAATGATCCCTTGCGACTGCTAACCTTCGCACCACATCCGTGCCATCACTCTATGACTTGAACCGGTAACTGATATGCGAGACTCTGCCATCCAGTCATTTTGTTTCACATGTGCTGCTACAGCAGCTACCGGTATATAACATAACTTCTCTGCCTACTTATACAGTACAGTACTCCCGAGTTTCAGTAGTCCTGTGAAGTATCATACCATATTGCAAATGGTGGAAGCCCCACGACACATGCGTGTCGCTATCTACGCATACTGGCTGGTACTAGTACTATACAACCTGCGAGCAGTGAAAGTACCCGTGCTCTTATTTCGGCCAGAAAGCTTGCGCAAACTGCCCTCAGCAACATCGTGCCCGCCATCACCCTCGGTAGCCAATGCGGGGAACAGAGGCTCTCAGCCCCAGTAGTCTTTAGCAGGGGTACTGTTCCCTGCAGCCCTAGCCCTCAGCTCAAACCCCTCAGCCCTGCCTCTGCCACTTGTGCAGGAATCGCCCTCTGCTCCTGCCGCTACCAGTCCGGTGCCGCACGCCAGGGAACACCGGGCCTTGTGCTGCCATTGCCACACCTTGTTGTCCGTTCCACCTTAGCCCCGCAGGCTCCTCCGCATTCATAGCTATAACCGTCGCAGCAGCAGTGTCGGCTTGACCCAGCCCCAGGGCATATCGGCGCTTGAACGTGCCAGTGTTACCACCAGGTATGGGATCCCTAGGCTTGAAGGTGGACCCACCAGAGGACTCTTGAAGCGCCTCAGAAGCCGGTTCAAAGGCGGTGTCGCTTTGACCCAGCCCCAGGGCATATCGGCGCTTGAACGCGCCGGTGGTATCGGGTATGGGATCCCTAGGCTTGAAGGTAGACCCACCAGAGGGAGGGGGAGAGGGGTCAACTGGTTTCGGAGGTGGTGGGGAAGGCTTGGTTACAGGCTTAGGACTAGGCTTGGGAGCAGGCTTAGGTGACGGCTTGGGGGCAGGCTTGGGACTCGGCTTGGGAGCAGGCTTGGGAGCAGGCTTGGGAGCAGGCTTAGGGCTGGGTTTGGGAGCAGGCTTGGGGCTCAGTTTGGGGCTCGGTTTGGGGCTAGGCTTGGGGCTAGGCTTGGGGCTAGGCTTGGGAGGAGGCGGAGGAGCGTAGAGGCCGTCAGGATCGGAATTAATGAGGGGCTCCCGCCTGAGCATCTCGTAGAAGAGGTCCACCCACACGTCCGGCACGCCGGGCTGGCACCAGTGCAGACAGTCTGAGCCCTTCTTCGTCTGGTAGGGTGTAGGGATAAAGGTTTTCAAAGGGAGCACAGGAAGAGGGGAAAGAGAAGGGATGGAGGGAGCAAACTGGCTGTCAGGATCCGGGTTGATGAGGGGCTCCCGCCTGAGCATCTCGTAGAATAGGTCCACACACACATTCGGCACGCCGGGCTGGCACCAATGCAGACAGTCCGAGCCTTTCTTCTTCTGCAAGGGTTTGGGGTTTGAAAAGGAATGGGGAAAGTGAGGGTTTTTGAGGGGCTCTCTTCTGAGCATATTGTAGAATACAGTAGGTCGACCCACTCGTCCGGCACGCCGGGCTGGCTGGCACCAGTGCAGGCAGTCCGACCCCTACTTCTGGTAGGGTTTCGGGTATGCAAGGGGATGATGAGGGGGGAAGGAGGGGAGTGAGAAGGCAGGGATTGAGCTTGTTGAGAGGAGTGCAGTGCGGTTGATGAGAGGCTCCTGCTTACCCATGTATGTTGCACCTCATCTCCCCACCCCCACCATGTAGCACTCACCCCTCCATGCAGCCTCCTATGTGTGCTTCAGGCCGGAATGCGCTCGGACTGGTGATGTCCATGCGGCGAATGCTGTAGTTCCAGAGTGAAGACACGCTTCTGAATGCAAGCTAGGAGGACAAGTAGCACTCACCCCTCCCATGAATCCGCCGATATGTGCCTCGGGTCGGAAGGCGCTGATAGTGGTGATGTCCATGCGGCGAATGTTGTAGTCCGAAGTGAAGACGCGCTTTTGGATGGGCAGGAAGAGCTTCAGCTGAACGTTGTTGCGCTGCATCTTGCCCATCTGATGAGGGGGGAGAGGTGAGAAGGGGGGGAGGGGGAGGGGTGTCGGAGGGAGAGCACACAGAAAGGTTGGGTTGAGTGAGAGCTTCAATTGAACAGAAATGAGATGAACACGCGCCTTTGGATGGGTAGGAAGAGCTTCATCTGCACGTTGTTGCGCTGCATCTTGCCCATCTGATGCGGTGGGGGGGGAGGGGGAGGGGGAGAGGGGGAAAGAGGAGAGGAGGGCGGATTGAGCAGGGGCAGAGCAGCAAGCTCGAGCGGGCACAGGGCGCAGGGCACAGGGCGCAAGGCACAGGGCACAGGGCACAGGGCACAGGGCGCAGGGCACAGGGCACAGGGCACAGGGCACAGGGCACAGGGCACAGGGCACAGGGCACAGGGCACAGGGCACAGGGCACAGGGCACAGGGCACAGGGCACAGGGCACAGGGCACAGGGCACAGGGCACAGGGCACAGGGCACAGGGCACAGGGCACAGGGCACAGGGCACAGGGCACAGGGCACAGGGCACAGGGCGCAGGGCACAGGGCACAGGGCACAGGGCACAGGGCACAGGGCACAGGGCGCAGGGCGCAGGGCCCAGGGCACAGGGCGCAGGGCGCAGGGCACAGGGCGCAGGGCACAGGGCACAGGGCGCAGGGCGCAGGGCACAGGGCACAGGGCGCAGGGCACAGGGCGCAGGGCACAGGGCACAGGGCACAGGGCACAGGGCGCAGGGCACAGGGCACAGGGCACAGGGCGCAGGGCGCAGGGCACAGGGCACAGGGCACAGGGCACAGGGCACAGGGCACAGGGCACAGGGCACAGGGCACAGGGCACAGGGCACAGGCACAGGGCACAGGGCACAGGGCACAGGGCACAGGGCACAGGGCACAGGGCGCAGGGCGCAGGGCACAGGGCACAGGGCGCAGGGCACAGGGCGCAGGGCACAGGGCGCAGGGCACAGGGCACAGGGCGCAGGGCACAGGGCACAGGGCACAGGGCACAGGGCACAGGGCACAGGGCGCAGGGAACGCGCGCTTCTGGATGGGCAGGAAGAACTACATCTCTGCACGTTGTTGCAGAAGAGGGAGAGATACCATCCTTCCCGCATACGCCTTTCCCCCCATCCTTCTTGGCGCTGTGCCGCAGGGGAGCCGTCATAAAGAAAAAGGAAGCCCCAACCGCCCCGACCCCTGTCCATCACCCCAGATTCTCACCTCTTTGGCGTTCAGCAAGTGGCCGGGCGATCCGCACACACCCTTCCCGCCGATCTTCTTGGCGTTGTGCTGCGGGGGAGCCGTCATGAAAAAGGGCACCGGCAGCACCTTTCCGGCCTTCTTCCTGTTGGCAAACAGCGTGCGGATGCTCGTTAACGCTTGGCTGCAAGGGGGGGGGGGGGGGGGGGGGGCGGGAATGGCAGGTGGAGGGGAGGGAGGTAGATGGGAAGTTGGAGCAGTGGTCATGAAAAAGGGCACCCGCAGCACCTTTCCGGCCTTCTTCCTGGTTCCAAACAGCGTGCGGATGCTCGTCAGCGCTTGGCTGAAAGTGAGGGGGGAGGAATGGTGGAAGGGAGGAGGGAAGAAGACTTAGGGGGGGGCGGCATAAAGAAGGGCACCGGCAGCACCTCTCCGGCCTTCTTTCCGTTCCCGCTAACGAGCCCTCCAGCGTGCAAATGCTCGTTAGCGCGTGGAGGGCTCGTTAGTGCTGGAAGGAGACGGCGGGAGGGAGGAGGGGCAGACGGCGGGGGGGAGGAGGGGGAGGAGAGGGAGCGGACGCTCGTTAGGGCTTGGCTGCAAGAAGGGAAAGAGTTGGTTGGGGGGAGAAGGAGGAGGGGAAGGGGGCGGGGGATGCGTGCGTTGTGGGGGATGCGAGCGTTGGAGAGGCGTCAAAGCTCACTTGGCGATCAACGAGTGTTGAGGGGGAGAAGTACTCACGCATGGGCTTGTTACGGGTTCAGCCTTACCTGCCCCCACTTCTCATTGGAGCCATTAAGCGTTAGGGTGGGCTGCAGACTACTGTTCATTGGGCCCTAACGCTTAATGGCTACAAGTTCAGCCTTACCTTCCTTACCTTCCCCCACTTCTCATTGGTGTGCACCATCCGGGGCCCCTTGGACAGCGACCCTTGGAGGGGCTTCAAAGCTCACATGGTAGTACGCAAGCTCTGTAAGCGAGGGATAGATGGCGCCAGCCATGACCCACCTGTGCGCCTGGTACTGGTCCAGCCTCATCTTCCCCCACTTCTCATTCGTGTACACCATCCGCGGCCCCTTGGACAGCGACCGCCAGTGCGTAGTGGTTTCAAACAGCACCGCTACCCACTCGAGAGTGGCAGGAGATTGGAGAGCGTTGGAGGGGGCGAAAGGCCACCAGCTAGGACCCACCTGTGCGCCTGGTATTGATCCAGCCTCATCTTCCCCCAGTTCTCATTCGTGTACACCATCCGCGGCCCCTTGGACAGCGACCGCCAGTGCGTGGTCGTCTCAAAGAGCACCGCGTCCCACTCGTCCAGGTACCGCGCCCACTGGGGGTTGGGCGTCGTCACGTCGATTAAGCAGTCTGCCGGCTTGGGGTCTGTTATTCCCCCCACTTGGGCCAGCAGGGTGGCATCTGACGAAGAGGAAGCAGGGGAGGAGGCAAGGAGAGGCAAGGAGAGGCAAGGAGAGGCAGAATGGGGGGTTAGCTGGTTTCAAAGAGCACCGCGTCCCACTCGTCCAGGTACAGCGCCCACTGGGGGTTGGGAGTAGTCACGTCGATTAAGCAATCGGCGGGTTTTGGGTCTGTGATGCCTCCTACTTGGGCCAGCATGGTGGCGTCTGGGGGGGGTTGGGAGGGAGGGAGAGAGGGAGAGAGGAGGGGCCACTACTTTCTGGTTTCAAAGTGCAACGCTTCCCACTGGGTCAGCATGGTGGCGTCTGGGAGAAGGAGATGGGGGGGAGAAAGTGGGGGAAGGAGAGGGAAGGAGAGGGAAGGAGAGGGAAGGAGAGGGAAGGAAAGGGAAGGAGAGGGAAGGAGAGGGAAGGAGAGGGAAGGAGAGGGAAGGAGAGGGAAGGAGAGGGAAGGAGAGGGAAGGAGAGGGAAGGAGAGGGAAGGAGAGGGAAGGAGAGGGAAGGAGAGGGAAGGAGGGTCCTTTGGTTTCAGCAGCACCAGTCTGTGATGCGCCCCACCTGAGCCAGCATGGTGGTGTCTGAGAGGGGAGAGGGGGGGGAGAGGGGGAAAATGAGTTACAGCTGGATTCAACCGCATCTCCTCCCACTCGTCAAGGTCTGGGATGGAGAGGACCCACGCCACCGCCTCCTTTTGAGTCGACTCAAAAACCTGCTTTTGAGTCCGTGTAATGAGCCTGCTTTTGAGTCGACGCTGAAGCAGCTGGCTTGAGTCGGCATCTCCTCCCACTCGTCAAGGTCTGGGAGAGAGGACACACGCCACCGCCTCTGGCGCGTCGTTGGACGACGGTGCCCTTCGTCGACTTGCTTGCTCAGTCGCCTGCTTGCTTGCTCAGTCGCCTGCTTGCTTGCTCAGTCGCCTGCTTGCTTGCTGTACTCGGTGAGAGAGAGAGTGAATGAGTGAGAGAGTGAGTGGGTGAGTGGGTGAGCGAGTGAGTGGGCAAGTGAGTGGGTGAGTGGGTGACTGTACTCTAAAGAGAGAGAGAGGAGGGCAGGGGTCGTACTCTGGTTGATGCGCACGAGGAAGTCGTCCCACAGCATCACAATCTTGGCGTTGAGGTCCGGGATAGAGTACACGTACGCCACCGCCTCTGGCGCGTCCTTGGTCGACCACCCTCCGTCCAACGTGCGTAGCTCGGGCTTGGGGTTCACCCAGTACATCTGGTTCAGCTGCAATGGGGAAGAACGGGAGTATTTGTACTTGTATAAGCATATAGAATAGTGTACATGCGCTAGTGTACTCTTCACTCGCTCCTTTGTCCAACGTCCTTAGCTCGGGCTTGGGGCTCACCCAGTACATCTGGTTCAGCTGCAATGGGGAATGGGGAAGAGGGGAGCCTTTGTGTTTGTGCCATTGGAAAGGTGCTCTTTATCTGCACCCTCTCTGTCCAACACAGCACACCGAGTTTACGCACCTGGCACAGCAGCGATGGCATCATGAAGTATGCGTTTTGAGTCGACTCAAAACCGAAATCACTATCTCGAAACAAATACTGAGAATACCGAGGATACCGAGAATACCGAGAATACCGAGAATACCGAGAATACCGAGAATACCGAGAATAGCGAGAATAGCGAGAGTACCGAGGATACCGAGGATACCGAGAATACCGAGAATACCGAGAATACCGAGAATACCGAGAATAGCGAGAATAGCGAGAGTACCGAGGATACCGAGGATACCGAGAGTACCGAGAATACCGAGAATTCCGAGAATACCGAGAATAGCGAGAATAGCGAGAGTACCGAGGATACCGAGGATACCGAGAATACCGAGAATACGCACCTGGCACAGCAGCGACGGCACGAAGTTGGCGCTCGTGAGCGAATCGCCGATGATGGCGATCTGCTTGTTCGCGATGAGCTTGCCGAAATGGCTGTAACGAGTGCTCGGGGGACGATGATGAGGGCGAAAGACGGGGTGAAAGAAAAGGGAGACGCTGACGAAATGGGGGACTGAGTGGGGGGTGCTGGGGGGATGGAATGATGGGGGGGGGGAGTCCATTTTTGAGGCGCCTCGAAAATAGACTGAGTGCGGGCTTGTCGGGGGATGGAATGATGAGGGGGGGAGGGGGGGGGGGGGAGGGGGGAGGACAAGGAGGAGGGAAAGGGGAGGGAGAGGAGGGGAAGCGGACACGGGGTGAAAGATTGTGAAGGGTAGCGGGTGGGACTATAGCGAAGGAAGAGAGCAGAGGACTGTATAGGGGGGAAGAGGTTGATAAGGCATGCGGGTGGTGGAGTGCAATGGGGAGCGGTTGATGTTGCATCCGTTCGTACGTACGTTCGATTGAATCGGGCCACTCTCTTGCATCCTGTCGAATACCACGAGTAGCGTACGTACGCGTTGTCAGGTCGCCCGTTTGTAGTGCAACGGGTCAGATTGAACTGGAAACGGAACAACAAATTCTGCCGTTAGTCGTGCCCACGGGATCACAAGAAAATACCCGCGCTTCCACTGCAGTAGTAAAGGGTAGCTCAGAATAGCAACCTTACCAAAAACGGGCACGAGTCTTGATACGGCGGACGGTTGCCGTCAACTATCCACCGGCCGTCAAAGAGATTGCAATATTGGGCCGTCGCGGCTGGCAAAGCCACCGGGAAAACCTCCCAGGCCGTTACGAGGAGCATAACCGTGAGCCAGAGCGTGATTCGCGGCGCCGCGGCAAGCGTCGCGAGCCCAAACCGTCTGCGCGAGCGGCTGCGCGTTTGGAAGGGCAGCCATGGTTCGGAGTCGGACGAAGCGAGTAACGGCTCTAGCGGCGAAGCGGCCGCGAAGAGGTCGTGAAGGCCGGCGCGGTCTAGCGGTGAAGCGGCGCTGGCTGCCATGATCAGGAGCAGCTGAGGTGGCTGCTTTGCCCCGCTGACGTGGCTGATCGACTCTGATGAGGTGGCGGATCGACTCAGCTGACGTGGCTGCACGACCTACTAAATGATGCGGCTGCTCTACCCAGCTCGAGATCTTCGGAACGAACTAGTTGCGGATGCCTGCGCGTCGTGGTCTTGATGTCGATCCAAATCCGATTCGTTCTAGATCGAGCAGACAGCTCGTGAGCGCTGTTCTAGTCGACGCATAATGTCACGATACACGGCTCTGGAAGGTTCTTCTAGACCAATAGTACGTGGTTGTACAATTGGTGGCCTGAGCGGGCTGACGCGAGCTGAAGCGGCTCGCACTAGAGAGTTAAAGCCACCATGTCGCGAGACCTAGTGACGAATTATCGGCGGGAAATGATTGAATGTCCCGCTGACTAGCTGTAGTTCTAGTTCTACCCTCGACCGTCGACTAGCCTATAGCTCGGGTGACTAGTGAAAGTCGCCTCAAAAGTCCATAAAAAAATAGCTCCGTGGCTTTGGCCCCGACGAACGATGGAGACTTCTTCGAGATGAGCACGATGCGAGCAAACGATGCGTTATTTCGCTAGCGAGTGAGCGAGAGTGGCGTCTATAGTGGGCGGAACTGGCAGTGCAGTAAGGCTCTGCTGGTTTAGGGCGTGCTCTAAGCGTACGCCGTAATGGGGTTGAGTGATGTGGATTGCGTTTCGGAAGGAGAAAACAACTCTGTAAGAAGGTTCGGTAGGGTATGGCGAAAAATGATCCTTCAGGGAAGGAATGAGGGGGGGCGCAAATTCTGTCCTGCACAGCTTTTTTTTTTCCTCGCAGTCGTACAGCCCAGAAGCAGAGTAGAGCAGAGCATTTTGGGAACCAGATTGATCCTTTTCCCCTTGGCCTTGGGACTAGCACCGCCAGAACATTTCGTTCGGAATCGCAGGACACGGAGTGGAACTTTTTTTCGACGGTTGGATGAGAGGCATCGGAGAGCCAGAGCTGACCGGAGTCAAGAATGGGCAGCTCAGGTCGATCGCGGAGCACTTCGGAACGAGCCGCGCTGCAGCGAATTTCGACGCCGACTGCGCATTTCCAGCCAAAATGGCGATGCGGTCTCAGTGACCTTGTTCACAACCACACAAAACCTTGTCACACCGTGAAGTAACGCGTTTTATTGGTCTGGTGTAATGATAATTAGGCGCATCACCACCATCCAACAAGCTGCCCAGCCTCTCCCTCGTGCGGTGCGCAGGTTGGGGGAACAAGCTCTCCCCGCCAAGAACACATGTGGGGAGGGGAAGGATAGCAGCATGGATGTAGCCCGGGGCTCCCCCCATCAAACCAACCAGCCTTCCGCAACACACAACCCCCCAGCTAGCGCCACCGACAACACACCAACGCGGAATCGCCACCGCGGGCCATCAATATTCATGTTCGTGCAGGGCGTCAAGACAATAGTGCAGCAATGTTACATCTCATACATTCATCTTCGTACAAAACCTGGGTAAATAAGCAATGTAATTTCGTGTGACATTAATTTGGTGGTGATTACAAATGATAGAGATAAATTCCGGGTGAATGCTGTCAAGGATTTGTCACGCATAATTCCCACATATATAGAGAATCGTTACAAAAGGGGCTTAATTAGTAGCAAAAAAATGCAAAAAGAAATCGTTGCCGCTAACAGCATGCATGGGTATTCACCAATGTTGGAAATACCTCAAGGACTTAAGCGTTTCTGAAGTGTAACACCACACTCGAGTGAAACCGTATCGAGTATGCGAGTCAACGGAGGTTACACGAGGAGGTTGGACGAAAGAACACGAAAGGACGAAAGACTCGAAGGGTCGCAAACGGAGGTTGCGACTGACCGTTGCAACAGCAAAGGTGGTAACCGAATCGACCATCGAGTCGCTGTGCGACTCGATAACCGTTCCTTCAACTGTATTCTACAACTGCTTTACTTTCCTATTTTCTATATATTGCTGTATGCTTGTTTCTTTTCATCAATCACTTGCTCTCACATACTAGTGCAAGGGTTCAACTACTCAACCTCTGCTGCACTACTCAAGTATCTCGTACAACTGGACTTCGTCTCTGAAAGATCCTAAGGGCTTCTTCTCAGCCCAACATAGTATGAGAGCTGGTCAGAGACCAAACTCCCAGCAACGTTCTATCTACAGTCAACACTTCAACAAGCTTCATCGATTATAAGTCATGGACAACAAGGGCAAGAAGATCTCTACGGGCTCACCCAGCGCCCAAGACACCCAACCCGGCAACTCTGGACTACACACTTCAGGACTGCAAACCGAGACCGGCGCTGCTCAAGAAACAACAGGAAGGGCACCAGAAATGGTGACTCCATCACCCTCTTCAAGCGTGGACCCGAACCTTATGGAAAGGTTCTTCAGCTTCATGTCACACTTCGACCAGCAGCAGCAGACAAGGACACCTACGCATTCAACACAGAGCAACAGAGGAAACATGGGATTAGCGCCAATGAGTTTCGATAACTCATCGTTTGGGCGACACAATCAAGCGCCTACCTTTGCGCCTTATCACTCTTCACCGGGGACGTTCGAGTTCATGCCGCCCCGTGCCCAACCAACAGCAGCTGCATCACAACAGACACCAAACGAGATATTAAGCCTCCAGGCGCAGTTTTCACACGTGATCAAACTGCAGACATCCTCACCGCTCAACGTACACGACTTTTTTACCTGGAGCTTCGAGTTCGAGCTGCTGATGGAGGCCGCGCATCTCTTGGGATACTTCAACGGGTCCCTGCCATTTCCAAGCAATGGCACTGTAAAGGAGCTGGAAATCTTCACTTATCGGTCGCTGCTGGCGTACACAGTTCTCCTGCGGAACCTGTCACCACAAGAACAGCAAAGCATCAGAACGTATCGGAGCTACGGAAACTCCGCGGAGCTCGCATGGCATCACCTCAAGTATCTCTACCAAGCAAACGACAGCGTGACACAAAGCAGACTCATGCAGCAGTTGACAACAATACAAATGAAAACCGGGGAAAAGGCGATGCAGTATATGAGTCGCTGCCAAACACTCCGCGACCGCCTGCTTCGGTGCGGAGGCACAATCATTGAAGAAAGCTTTGTGACACTTGTCCTCGCCGGGCTCGGGTCAGAATGGAGAACCACCCGCTCGCTTCTTCGCGCCCACGGACGAATTTCGGAGATGCACCTCTGCGCCGAGCTTCATGCTGAACAACAGGAGATGGACTAGTTTGAAGAAAGACAACCAAGAAACAGGCAGCAACCGTTAGTCTTCTATGCTCAACGAAGAAACGACAACCACAATCGACGTGACAGGCAGTTGCGACACGACACCCAAGGACTCACCATCGTGCCGCCGTTCTGCCACAACTGTCAGACATCCGGACACTCCAAGGTTAACTACACACGCCCTCGAGTTTATCGTCCAGTAGACCCACAAGTCGCTTCTACTCAAGAAAGTCCGCCAAGGCGTTCCTCCACATCTGCACAAGGCACACCGAATATCATCAATTGCATGGTACGCATCGACAACTGCGCACCCGGATCACCACCCACTTACGCTCCAGACGAAGAAGAACTGTCGCCGCCGCGCAACCAAGGCCTTCAGGCCAACCCAACGTACGCTGCAGTGGCCAACGCTGAACCCACCGTGCGAAACACCTGGTTCTTGGACAGCTGTTCCGGCCAACACATGTGTTCTTCTTGACGCTTCGTGCAACGAGAACGACGCCTCAACCGCGATGTCATCATCACCGTCGCCAACAACGAGAACCTGAAAACCAACAGACAAGGAGTGGTTCAGCTGCAATCCATGGAGACAAATGTCATCCTGCAACTCAACAAAATTATCATCGTCGATAACTTGGGATACAATCTGCTAAGCGTCAGCCAGCTAATGGAAAAAGGGATTCACCTGGAATGCGACTCGGACGCCAACGAATTTCGTCTTTACCACGGGAAGGGCGGCCTCTTCATCGGTCGCGCTCTCCTGAAGTCAGGTGTCTTCGTGTTGGATTTCGACCCAGACCGCGGTACTGCCGACAGCGATGGCATCGTGTCGTTCACCGCCTGGACACACCCGCCGGATCTTGACCCCGACTTCACCCCAGATGGATTCTGGTACTCCAACACCATACCTGCAGCAGAGCGAACACGAGCGTTAGCAGTCATTCGACAAGAAAGACAAGTACCAGCAAGCGTCCCTTCCCTGACATCACCTACAGTAGCAGCAGCAGAACCCAGCCATGTACCATCACCAGCAATCCGAGGACCGCCAACCGAAGGAGATCAACTTATGCCCATCACTCGAGAAGTCTGCCGAAGTCCCGCCACGGTCGTCGCGTTCTTCTCCAACGCCGACATGTACCAACGCTCACCCGGCCATCGCGCTCCCGACGACATCTGGCATCAATGCCTCAGGCATCCTGCGAACAGCACAGTGCTAAAAACCATCCAAGCCGAAGTGTTAGAAAGAAACGCCCTTCTTACAACGAGCGGCCAAGAACTTCGACGACCACGCGCACGATGCTTCACGTGCCCCGAAGCAGATCTTCCCCACCAACCTTTTACGTCACACCACAATCCAAGCGCACCTGCATACGAACCGATGGAAAAGGTCTACAGCGACATATTAAATATGCCTCGATACGACAGTGAAGCAGAATACAACTACGTTATAACGTTCATCGACACAGCAACACGATACGTTTGACACTACAACCTCAAGACACGAGATCAAGCGTTCGAAGCCTTCACGACATGGCTGCCCATCGCTGAACGAGAATCGGGCTCGAAACTTAAGAACTTCCAGTCAGACGGAGCACTGGAATACTAGTCACAACGATTCATGACCTACTTGGGAGAAAGAGGCATCAGACGCCTGGTGTCACTGCCCTACGCTCACCAACAGCAGGGGGTCGCAGAGAGGATGAACCGGACCTTGCAGACGACGATGCGAAAGCTGCTCCTGGGGATGAGACTGCCCAACACACTGTGGCCAGACACGATGACGCATGCAGTCCACCTGCACAATTTGCTATCCTCGTCATCACTTCCCAACAACGCATCACCGCACCTGCTGTGGACACGAAAAAGGGGCAGCACAAAATTACTTCGAGTTTTCGGCTGCATGGTACAGTACAGACCTCACACAGCTCGAGCAGGATACTTCACTCAACGAGCACGGTGGGGACTACACCTCGGCATCGCAAAACATTTCCAAGCTTGGAAGCTTCTCGACATTCAGGACAAAAATACCGTGGCATCACGTGATGTGATTTTCTACGAGCGACTGACGCTGCAGCATTACCTGGACAACGTCGCCAACACAGACGACCCCACCGACGGCTTTGCGGGCCTTCGCTCCTTCGCCGATCATGCTGCCGAGGCTGACGCAGCAGAGGAAGACGTACCTGAAGCCTCGGAAACTGCCGGACCACTCCCTTACTGCTCCGTGCCTGTTCCCCTCAACGACGACAATCCTTTCGATAGTAACAACCTCGACACCTATTACCACTTCGCTGACCAAGGTTACACTACACCTCAACCAGCTGACACGAATGTCTCAGAACGCATCGGACCAAATTTCTTACCTGATCCCGAAGATGGCGACGAAGCACCTTATCCTGGGAATGAAAATTCCCCTCGACACTCACCCACGGGCCTGCAGATACTTGGATTATGGGTCTCCGTCCAGCACCCGCCGCCGCCGTCTCCGCGCGAGCCAACGACTCTGTCGCAGGCTCTAGGGGGGGAACATAAGGCGAAATGGAAGGAGGCAATGGAAAAAGAATTGAAAGCTCTGCAAGACCGAAACACGTGGAAGCTGGTACCTGCAACAAACATCAACGGGAAGAACGTACTCTCTGGGAAATGGGTGTACCGCATTAAGACCAATGCGGATGGCTCCATCGACCGCTTCAAAGCTCGCTGGGTCGTACGAGGATTCGACCAGCGATATGGAACCGACTACACGGAGACATTCGCCCCAGTCTCCCGACACACCTCCCTATGCATCTTGCTCGCCGTCGCGGCCACGAAAAAGTTACCACTACGCCAGATCGATGTCGCCAACGCCTTCCTGTACGCACCTGTGGATGCCGAAATCTTCGTCGAGCAGCCCCATGGATTCATCGACGATCCCACAAAAATATGCCAGCAGGTGAAATCCCTCTACGGAATCAAACAAGCCCCACGGCTCTGGCAGCAGCACCTTCAGTGCCGCCTCGTCAGGATCGGCTTCTTGCAGCTGCCGCACGACCAAGGAATGTACCGACTACAAAGAGGGGGGGACTTCGTCCTACTCATCGTCTACGTCGATGATCTACTCTACATCGGCTCCACTACCAACGTCGTCACCTGGTTCGAAGGGGAGCTGAAGAGCGACCTAACGCTTACGGTGTCAGACACCGTGAGTCAGTATCTAGGTCTGAACGTCGTCGAAGACGACTCGGCGTTCTACCTACATGCTGGAAAATACGCAGGCGTTGTCGCAAAGAAATTCGGACTAACGCCGACTGCAGTCGCGACTCCCTACCGCTACGGGAACAACAACGACACCTCCGCAAAACTCCCCGCGAAGCAAATCCAGGAGTATCAGCAGAAGCTCAGCTGCCTACTATTCGCAGCAGTAACTTGCCGACCGGATCTATCTTACAGCACGAGCCAACTAGCGACACATCTGAAGCAGCCGGAACAAGAGGATCTCAAGGAGCTAAATCGAGCACTGCTCTACATCGTCTCCACGCCGACGACCAGACTTACCTACAGTAAAACAACGACATCGTCCGTACAACTACTCGGATACGTCGACGCCGACCACGCTGGAGACAAGGAAAATCGACGCTCAAGGACGGGTTACATCTACCGACTAGGACCTATCGGGACTATCTCCTGGCAGTCGAGCAAACAAGAACTAAGCGCGCTATCTTCAGCTGAAGCAGAATACATCGCCCTCTGCACTGCGACCAAAGAAGGACTTTACCTGCGAGAGTTGCTCGAGGAAGCGAAAATCGCAAAACTGCCCGTCTTCTCGATATTGTGCGACAACCAATCCGCGATTAAAATCGCGAACAAGGACGTGTTCGCTAATCGAACCAAGCATATCGCCCTGCGGTACTTCTTCGTCAAGGATGAAATCGCGAAAGGGAGACTTCAACTCAGTTACTGCCCCATGACAGAAATGGCCGCAGACTACCTGACGAAGAAACTGGCGAAGGCAAAGTTCGATTACTGCATGCTGCTGACCGGGCAGATAAACGTCACCGAATCTGGACACATCAGCACTCCAGAAACGAAGGGGAGTGTTGTAAATACCTCAAAGACTTAAGCGTTTATGAAGAAGTATCGAGTATGCGAGTCAACGGAGGTTACACGAGGAGGTTGGACGAAAGAACACGAAAGGACAAAAGATTCGAAGGGTCGCAACCGGAGGTTGCGACTGACCGTTACAACTGCAAAGGTGGTCACCGAATCGACCATCGAGTAGCTGTGCGACTCGATAACCGTTCCTTCAACTGTATTCTACAACTTCTTTACTTTCCTATTTTCTATATATTGTTGTATGTTTGTTTCTTTTAATCAATCACTTGCTCTCACATACTAGTGCAAGGGTTCAACTACTCAACATCCGCTGCACTACTCAAGCATTTCGTACAACTGGACTTAGTCTCTGAAGATCCTAAGGGCTTCTTCTCAGCCCAACAACCAACTACTAACAATGAGAGGTGCTCTCTAATAATCATGGAAGCAGCCAAACCAGACACTCACATTGTATGGCACCACACCACACTGGATCCTCCCATAAGCACCCTCCAACCTTCACGTAGGCCTGAGGAAAAAAATCACCAACTGCTACTGAGTGTAGCATTTAAAGACACCATTCACATACGTGCATATCTGACTCAACCTCCTCCTTTGGACACCCTCCATGGTGAGAGGCTGCTTTGGAATCTCCTGTTCGGCCAGCACCCTCTCCCTCCAGCTCTTTGTTGCCCTCTGCCCAAGAACCAGCTCTTCATTTTTAATCAGCTCCACCTGCTCCAGCTCTGCCTGCTCCAGTTCCACCTGCTCCTCGTCTATCTTCTCCTCTTCCACCTGCCCCAGTTCTAACTGCTCCACTTCCACCTGCTCCTCTTGCACCTGAGGCCCTTCTACGTGCTCCTCAGCTTGCTGCCAGGTCAGTGGACTATCTTCCTCGCCGAATTGCACAAACTCTGTTGCAGAAGAATCCTCGCTAATCTTCACATCTGCGTCATGCTTTTCTTCGTTAGCCGAACCAGAAGAAAGGATAAAGTTGAGACTGGCGAAGATAGGCTTGGGATTGAGGTCGGCCAGTAGCCGACGCGCTGTACCACCTATGTTTGTGGAAGTCGTGGTGCTGGGGCTTGTAACCGGTACAGAATCTTTCTTGTTACCCGGCATTTTGGTAGTGTAGACGTCCGAAAGTGCACACCACTGGGTTGACACATCCTGGGGATCGAACCAGCAACCAGCTACAGTGCAGCTGCAGGTTTGGCCGCAAACACAACCATCAGGTCTCGGCGCGCAGGGGCAATCGTCCAACGAAGCGATTCGGAAACTCACGTACGCCACCGAACTTGAGGCTTGGTCGGACAGAATCGCCCCGTACAGAGGCCCGGCAGTGGCGTACGGCCCTGGCGTTGGCGAAACATCGAGACTGTTCATAACGGAGTTAAAATATCCCCCGAGCATGGCCTCAGCAGTAGACGGCAGATTCGCTTCAGAAGTGAGCTCCTGGGATTCGCCCGAATCGCCCGCGCCGCGGCAGTGGCGCTGGGAGGTATTATCGGTGGTGGTCGCGATAACCAGGCCTGTTGACCCTACAGGCGCGGGGAGCACGGTTTCAGGGGAAAGGGCGCTGGTTGCGCTGTTGAACACGCGGAGATCCGTGCGCTCAGGGCAATTGTGCTCCGCTGGTGGGGAACAGGGTAAGGGGGGGGGGGGGAGGGGGAGGAGAGAGAGCGAGTAGGAAAATAAGGTGCAATAACAGTTTAGGCAGCAAGAAGACATTGGCAAAGAAACGAGGCTACATTTCGCTGGAGATATACATGTAGTAGCGGCTGTTGGACAGCTTAGAGCTAATGCGCGTTAGGGATGTTCGTTCAAATCCTCACCTACCAGAGCGGCTTAAGGGGTTCTTTCGGTGAGGAGCTTTCAGCACCGTTTCAGAGCAGGTTGCCTCTCACCTGCCAGCTCGGCTCGGTTGCCGATATACATGTAGCGGCTGTTCGAGGGGGCGTTCTTGATGTTCGTGCACACATCTGCCGCATCCGACGGCGGGATATCCGCCGCATCCGACGGCGGGATATCCGCCGTCGCTGGCGCCGAGGCCGCCATGGCGTCGGCCATGAGGCTGCTGGTGCCCACGCAGACCGCGTTGACTGCTGACGTGGCGAACTTCTGCGACAGCGAAAGCCAGAGTGTTGTAACAAGGTGGAATGAGCATCGCGAACGGAAACAGGACGAAGGTGAGCACACCACACCATTTGCGTTTGACGTGATTTTTCCGCAAAAAAAAAAGTTTGGCAGAACTCACCGAAAGAACCTCCTTTGCGTCGCTAGTCGCAATGCCTGCCGCTAAGAAAACGGCCAGGACGAGCTGAAACAGACGAGCCATGGCTGCAGACAACTTTTGAGTCGACTCAAAAGTCACCTGGCTGCAGAAACTTCACGACTCGGTAAACTTGGGTCCCTGGCTTTAATGGCCAGCAGGTTGCTGATTGGTTGCCGGGTCCGGGAGGCGTGACGTTATCTTGAGGAGGAGACTTTCTCAGATTTCCCAGAAGCACCGAACGCGGCGGGGACGATTCGTGAGAGTGAATCTCACACGATTTCCCGAAAGCTGATTGGTTGGCGAGGACACTAGAAAGTACCGTCTAGCGTCTGAAGTCTCTCTCACACGATATGCGGCTTTGGATTAGTATGGGAAAGACGAAATGCTTTCTGGTAAAAATGACCGATGGATCTCCGATTTGACACGCGGGTAAATAGACAGGTGATTATCGTGACTCCAGGAGCCGTACTCAAGTCCAGCGTAGCCTCATGTGCATTATCGTAGCTCGAGTCAAGACGAGGAAGAACGCTCTCGCACTACGAGTTCACAGCGGCTGTCGCGGAGCCTGGTGCTTCAGGCACAAGGGAAGTTCTCTCGAACACCCGCGCGCAACGGCGTGCGAATTCACACCACAATTGCACCTCCTTTGTACTGTCGCGATTCCGTCCTCGGTTTCGTCTGCTGTTGATTCGGCTGGGTTGCTGGAGGGGAGGGGTTGCAGTGCAGAATGGAATCGCGTTCCAAGCTTGATGGGAAACCCTGGAAGCAAAAACGAGGCACATTGGCAAATTCTCCAATGTCACTCTTCCCCAGCGTGCTTCGCGGTGAATGTTCTGTGGTTGGCCAGTCCGCGTTCCGGCGAGGAATTGAAGTTTGAGTTGATCGGACGACCGTACACAGTTTTGAAGGTGGATAGACGGTGAGGATTGCTCGTGATAAAGTTAGGGATGAAAATTATTGCCAAATCGATTGACGGTTACGATTGCTCGCGGAAGATACGGACAATGGTTCGCTGAATCCCCGAGTTTTGTGAAAATAGAGGGCGCCGTTTTTGGCGACAGCTAAATTAACAGAGTACATGGATTGTGAAACGAAAATGTAGACAAACGTAAAAATACAGAATGTAGACTTAACTGAGTACTCAAACCCTAAATTACAAGGGTTTAGAACAAGAAACACAACAAAGAACGGTTCCACACGTACAGTAGAGAGCCCAATAAAGGCAATCCAAACAAAGTCTACGGCTGAGAAGCCATCACACTACCTACACCCAAGGCTTCCAGTAGCCTTGGGGAAACACACAAGGTTCCAAGTAGCCTTGGAAAAAACACCCAAGCCTGGGAAAAGTGAAGCTAGAGCAGTAGAAGTGGCAGGCGACAACAAAGAGCTACATAAAAGCCACCCCAAGGTCTAATGGAAACCACCTAAGTCAGCCCTCACAATCCCAAGGCATCGGAAGGCCCCAGCAGCAGCAGAGGCAGCAGCACCAGCACTGCTGCAGCCACCCATCCCAGCTCGGCCCCTTGCCTTTGGTCTGCACTGGCGATATAGGGTGCAGGCTCTGTGAGGCGCCGGCGGTTGATGCCCAGAAGATGAAAGGGGATGGGGAGAGCGAGACTTGTGAGGGCCTTTTGAAGAGAGTGCAGTGGGGAGGTGGGGGAGGACGGAGAGGGGTCCTCGGCATATAATGACTCTGCTGCACCCTGTGACCCCCACCGCCCTGCTTCTCCTTCTCCCCACTCTACTTTCGCTTTCCCTCCCCACTTGCCAATGGCTAGAGCTGCACTCGGGACAGCAGAAACGGGCAGCTGACGGGAGTGGAATGGCCAATGGGAGGCTGCCACGGAGGCGAGGGCGGTTTGGCGGGAGGCGCGGAGAGTGGAGGCCTGGGACTGGAGCGTGGTTACCATGGCCACCAGCGTTGCTGTGTCGGAGAGTTCTACTGAGTACTCTGCTCCTGCAGCTGCTGTTCCTGCTGCCGCTGCTGCTGCTGCGGCTGCTGCTATTGTGACCGCTGCTGCTGCGTGCTGGAAGGAGGAGAAGGTGGTGCTGTTGGGGAGTGTTGGGTCTTGAATTGCTTTCTGGTGGGTGGATGAGTGTGGGCAGGAGAAAACAGAAATGATAGAGAAATGGAGGAAGATGAAGAGAGTAAGGAAAAGGGAAGGAAGAGGGAGTTGACTAGGTGGGGGAGGGAGAGGGAGAGACAAGCACACAGCACGTGTGTGCAGCAAGCAACACATACAACTCAGAGTTACAACGAAACATGCGTGATTGGATGGAACGCAACAAAGGGAATGATTGGATTGGAAGGGGAGACTTCTGAGTCGACTCAAAAGTCACCTCATTGGATGAAACGAAGAGAGTGATGGGATTGGAAGGGGAGCACGGAACAGGACGAACGAGAGTGACACTCGGAAGGGAATGGAAGGGAAAGGGAGGTGGATAGAGGCGCCATGGGTACATGCATGCAGTAACAAATGAATCTTCTGGATACAGAGGGAATGGTTGGAAGAGGATCGGATAGCAGGACTCAGCAAACACACCAGGGAACCAAAGGAGGGTGAAGCTGCACGGGAGCCAGTGCTGCTCGCCTTTCCTTGCCCTGCTATTCCACTCTTCCCTCCTCCCCCCCCTCCTCCTCCAGTGCCAGACCCTCCAAAGAAATCATCATCATCATTGTTGTTGCCTTTCTTCTTCTCCTTCTCCCCTTTCACGTCTTTTGAGGCAGCAGCCCCGTTACTAGCAGCACCGTTAGAAGCGCCGAGTTCGGGAGCCCTGAGAGCGCTGTTCCTTACAACGCCGTTGATCTTCTGCTCAGCCACCGGGTCCTTCCTGGTGCTTTCCTTCCTAATGCTGCTGGCTGCTTTGGACGTCTCGTGAATCCTGCAGCCACCATCAAAACAATGCACAGACCCACATACTTTAGACACCTCTTGAACCATGTTTTTGAGGCGCCTAAAACATGGACTGGTGAATCCTGCAGCCACCATAAAAACAATGCACAGACCCACATGCTTTAGACACCTCTTGAACCATGTTTTTGAGGCGCCTAAAACATGGACTGGTGAATCCTGCAGCCACCATCAAAACAATGCACAGACCCCCATGCTTTAGACACCCCTGAATCATGCAACATGCAAGAGTCGAATAAAAACACTTTCATTACACCCGCACTGCTCTCTCCTTACCTGTGACCATTCCCCTCTCGTCTGCCTTCCCCTCCCTTCCTTTCATCCATCACCCTTACCTCTCTTCAGCTCCAGGGCCAGCAGCTGCAGCCTCTGCACGGCATCCGTGGACTTCCCAACCTCGCTGCTCGCTCACGTGCTCTCTTGTAATCGACACGCACCAAAGCACGCGCCTCCCTGACATACCTTTCTTTCAGCTCCATCGCCAGCAGCTGCAGCCTCTGCACGGCATCCGTGGACTTCCCAGACTCGCTGCTTGCTCGCGCCAGCTCCCCCTGCAGCAGCCCCACTTGGTGCGAAAGCCCCTCCACTTTCCTAAAAGTCTCTTTTAGCGCGCTCTTACTCGCGCCCTCCCTTTCCCTCAGCTGCACAGCCTGCCGCAGGAAGAATCCCACCCGGTCCTGTGACGACTGAAGTTTCTCCCGGGCTGCCCGCTCTTTATTTTCCAGCTGCCCGACCTGCGCCTCGAGCTCCCGCACCCGGGCCTTCTCGGCCTCGGCTTCTGCCCGGGCTGCCCACTCGCGCTTCTCCAGCGCTCGAATCTCCACTTCTAAAGCGGCAACCTTGTGCTTCGTACCCGCCCCTCCTCCTCCTGCGGCTGAAGGTGCTGCCTGCGACCTTGCCACTGCATCGGCCGCTGCACTCTCTTTGAGGCGAGCCACTTGCCGCATGAGGAACGCGCTCCGCTCAGCAGCAGCAGCAGCAGCGAACCGAGCCCCCTCCAGCTCACTTGACATGGACGCCACTTGGGACTGCAGCCGCGCGATCAGCTGGTCCGCTGCACTGCTGCCAGCAGCTGCTGCAGCCGTGCTGGTCGCAACAGCAGCAGCAGCAGGAGCTGAAAGAATCTGCCTATTTTCAGCCCCAACACCTTCTGGGTGAAGCGAGGCCAGGAGGGAGGAGGAGGAGGAGGAGCGTTCTTTCTCCTCTGCAGCAGCCAGAGCAACCGCGAGTTTCGCCTCCGCTTCCTCTGCTTCCTTCTTCGCTTTCCTCTCCCTCTCCTCCGCCTCCCCCACCTGTTCCTCTAACTCTTTAATCCTCTTTTCAGCAACCTCCACCGTCGCCCTACTCTCCTCCACCACCCTCTCCCTCTCCTCCACCTCAGCAGCCACCGCCGCCAGCCTGGTGTCCTTCTCTGCCAGGTCACCCCGGGCCGCCGCTAGCTCAGCAGCCAGCCCGTCCAGCTGCGCCTGCAGCATCCTCTCCCTCTCCTCTGCCACCCCCAGCTGCTCTCTAGCAATCATCAGCTGGGAGTCATCAGTAGCATGCAGAAAGTCCTTTGCTGCATCTACAGCCTCTCTCTTAACCTCCATTTTCAGCCCCTCTACCTGCTGCACCTGCCGGGTCAGCAGCTCGATGCGCTCGCTAGCCACCGCCCACGCCTCCGTCATCAGCTCATCCTTCCTACGGAGATTCTCCGCTTCGGTAACCGCGGCCTCGAGCCTGTCGGTGGCAGCATGCATGGCTTCTTTTGCTGCCCGCTCCCGGTCCCTCAGCCCCCGCATCACCCGGAAGAAGAACTTGACCCGCTCGTTCGCCGCTCCCAGAGCCTCCTGCGCCTTCCTCGCTTCTTTCTCCGCCCGCTCCGCCCGGTCTTCCAGCTTCACCATCCGGTCGTGGTCCAGCGTGGCCTTCTCGGAAGCTTCCTCCAGCCGGCCTTCCATCTCGCCCATCCGCGCGGTAACCACGCGCTCCTTCACAGAAAGTTCCTTCACCTGGTCGGCTAGGGTCTGCATTCGCTCCAAAGCCACCGCTGCTGCTTCCTTAGCAGCTGCCTCCATCTCCTCCATCTGAGCGATTCTGTTAGCTAAGTCCGCCGCTCGTTCCTCCGCTGCCTGTGCCTTCGCCTCTGCTGCTTCGTGGGCGGATAGCAGCTCCCTCTCTCGCTCCTGAATGAGGGAAAGCTCGCGGGAAACTTGGTTGAGTTGGGAGTTGAGAGCTGACTCGCGCTCCGCTGCCGCTGCTACAGCTGCCTCGGCCTCTGCTGTCACCGCAGCAACTGCTGCTGCGGTTGCTTCTGCTGACGCCGCCGCTGCTGCGGCTGCTGCTGCTGCTGAATCCACACCCAAGGCTATGGAAGCCTGCTGTTCCTTCTCCTGCTGCTCCTGCTGCTGCTGCAGTTGAAAGAGGTTGAGGGACTCGACTTGCGCGGTGAGTGCTGCGATGCGCTCGTGCGCCGCTGCTGCCTCCATGCGCGCTGCTGTCTCGCTCTCCCTCAGCTCGCTCACATGGTGCATGAAGAAACGCACCTGGTATGGGAAGGGGGAGTAAAGGAGTGAGGAATAGAGCAAACGGGTGTTGCTGCTGCTGCCTCCATGCGTGCTGCTGTCTTGCTCTCCCTTAGCTCGCTGACGTGGAGCGTGAAGAAACGCACGTGGCGGATACAAGGAGGCAGGGGGGGGTAGTCAGGGGGACGGAGGGGAATGTGAAGAGGTGTGTTGCGGCTGCTGCTGCCTCCATGAGCGTTCCTGTCTCCATGCGCTGCAGTCCCTATGCGCTGCTGTCTCCCTCAGCTCGCTCACGTGATGCATGAAGAAACGCACCCGAGGATACAAGGAGGCAGGGGAGGGGGATAGTACGGGGGACAAGTGCAGAGCAGGGTACAGCAGCAAGAGAACCCTCGTCACCCGTTCCATGGTGGTCTAGCAGCAGCCATGGCCACGGGCTTTTGCTCCATGTGATGGTAATTTCATTTTGAGATGTCTCAAAACAGACCTAGCAGCAGCCATGGCCGCCACCCATGTGCTTCTGCTCCTGCGATGCCATGCGCCTTAGACCATGCACATGCGTCTGGTCCTCACCTTAGCCACTTTGTCTATCCATGTCAATCACCCTCTCACCATACCTGCTCTGTGGCGGATCTAGCAGCAGCCATGGCCGCCAGATGCTTCTGCTCCAGCGACGCTATGCGCTCCTCCACACCAGATGACACCTCCCCCGGAATCACCTCCCCAGAGGCAGAAAGAGCAGAAGCAATGGGAGGAGACGCGTCGGCAGGAGCGTCGGCCGGTGGGGGAGCGGCGAGGGGCCATGCGTGTGCGTGGTGGTCGTTGACGAAGGAATAGACAGAGTCCAGAATGTGGGGCTGCTGCTGTGAGGGGGAAGGAGGGGAAGGAGAGGAAGGAGGGGAAGGAGGGGAAGGAGGGGAAGGAGAGGAAGGAGGGGAAGGAGGGGGAGGAGGGGGTAACAAGGGCGACCAGTGATAAGGGAACGACACAACAGCAGCGAGGAGCCATGCGTGCGCGTGGCGGTCGTTGACGAAGGAATAGACCGAGTCCAGGATGTGGGGCTGCTGCTGTGAGGGGGGAAAAGGGGAAGGTGGGGGGGGAGGGGAAGGTGGGGGGGGAGGGGAAGGTGGGGAGAGTGTGAGGAAATAAGGGCGAGCAGTAAGAAGGGCACGGGACAACAACAGCGAGGGGCATGCATGAAAGGATGGTCGTTGACGAAGGAATAGACAGAGTCCAGGACGTGGGGCTGCTGCGGTGAGGAGCAAGGAAGGGGGTGGTCGGAGGTGTTCAGGACAGGAATGTGGAAGTTGCTCCTCACCCCAGCAAAGCACATTCCTGTCCTGCACACAAGCTTTGCATGCAACCACATGCAAAGCATGTGTGCAGTGAAACTGGGGCAGGGAGGGATACGAGTGGGGCAGTTTCTCAAACAAAAAAAAGCCAAGAGAGGAATCTCTGTCGCAGTTGAAAAAAAAAAAAAAAAAAAAAAAAAAAAAAAAAACTGTGAACAGTACCTGGAAGGGTGCATCCAGGGAAGGCTCTATCTGTGGGACAACGGGACTGAAGCTCTGAACCTCTTTCGGCTTGGGAGATGACGCCTGGCGAGATGCAGCCTGGATGGGCCATAGAGGGGAGGAGGGAGGGGGGCAGAGCGAACATGAGAGGGAAAAGAAGCATCCTTTGGCTTGGGAGATGACGCCTGGCCAGAAGCAGGCTGGGCAACGGGGAACAGTCAAGGGGCCAAGAGCGGTGGGCAGGGGAGATAGGGAATGCCGGGTGATGCCTGGACCTCCTTCGGCTTGGGGTATGACGCCTGGGGAGATACAAATGGGTGGGCCATAGAGGGGAGGCGGGTGGGGTGGGGGGCGGAGGGCATATGAGAGAGAAAACAGAAACGTCCTTTGGTTTGGGAGACCCACAACCTCCGCCCCCCCACCCTCCCACCCACCCATGCCACCCCTGTTCCTCCCCACCCCCCCTGCTCGCCACACCCACTGCCCCATCCTCCCACCCTCCGGCCCCTCTACACACCAAAAGCAATACCTTGGAACGAGACTGAGAGATGGTCACATCAGCAGACACCCGGTTCTGCAGCGTCTCCGTGATCAAGCGCCTCTGCGCCGCCTCCCAGTCGTCCCTCACCGCCTGCCCGCCGTCCGGCCCCTATGCTCCTCACCCCTGCTCCCCACCCCCTGTTCCCCTACCCCTGCTCCCCACTCGTGCAGCCCCACCTCCCCAACCCCCACCCGTCCAAACCAAGCAAGTACCTTGGAAAGAGACTGGGAGATGGTCACATCAGCGGACACCCGGTGCTGCAGCGTTTCAGTGATCAGCTGCCTCTGCGCCGCCTCCCAGTCGTCCCTCGCCGCCTGCCCGCCATCCGCCGCCGCGCCGTCCTCGATGCGCCGCTGGTACTGCTCCTCAGCCAGCTCCGTCATGCGGTGCGCGCCCACGCCGTCCGCTGCTGAGAGAATCAGGCGGGCCTGTGCGGGGGCAGCAGGAGCAAGTGGAAACAAGGGGATGCAAGGGAGTGCTGGACGATGGTTGCCGCGCCCTCCTCTATGCGCGCCGCTGGTACTGCTCCTCAGCCAGCTCCGTCATGCGGTGCGCGCCCACGCCGCCCGCTGCTGACAGGATGAGACGCGCCTGGGAGGAACACCGGGGGGGAGGGGAGGGGGGGGAGTGGGACAAGGGAAGGAAGCCTCTCAGGTGAGTGGGTGCCCCGCGCCCTCCGCTACGGGGATGTGTTGTGTGACATTGTAACGAGGTGACTTCTTCTGAACCACATCCTCCTGACAGGATCAGCCGCTTCTGAGTCGACTCAAAAGCATTGTAACGAGGTGACTTTTGAACCACAGCCTGACAGGATCAGCCGAACCTGGGAGAGGCGAAGGGAGGGACGGGGGGAAGCCACTTGCAACCAAGCTGAAGTCCCTACAAGAAGTGCCCCTGCTGGGCTAGCCCTCCCCTCACCCAATGGCCGTCATCCCCATGCCCCTCGTATCACTCCTCAGGCAGTTACAACGACGACACCCAGATTTTGCAGGGTGTTTTTGAGAATTCTCAAAAACACCCAGCACCCCTCACCTGCTCCCACGCCTCCTGTGGCGGGTCAGCAGACGCCACGCAGTCAGCAACTACGGCCCACGCCTGACCACCCTCATCCCCCCCCCTCCCCCCCAAAGTCAGAGCCATACTATACTGCCCATCTGCTCCCCCATAAGTGAGTGACTCGCACCTGCTCCCACGCCTCTTGCGAAGGATCAGCGGACACCACGCTGTCAGCAATGATGGCCTTGGCCTCGCTCCACGCCAGGCCCTGGAAGAACGTCAGGTAGCTGGGGCGAGGGGGAGAGGGGGGGGATGGAGGAGGGGGGTGGGGGGTGTGGGGGAGAAGGGGGAGGGGAGGAGGAATGAGTGCATGCAATTGGTGAGCAGTGGCCAGGCCATTTGGCTGTCAGCAATGATGGCCTCGGCCTCGCTCCACGCCAGGCCCTGGAAGAACGTCAGGTAGCTGGGGAGGGAGTGGGGGAGGGTGGGGGGGAAACGGGAGGGGGAAAGGGAAGCGGAAGGGTAAGGGGAAGGGGAAGGGGAAGGGGAAGGGGAAGGGGAAGGGGAACGGGGTAGTGGGGGGAATGTGTGCGTGCATTTCGTGGGCAGTGGCTAGGCCGTCTGGCTGCCAGGCAGCAATGATGGCCTCGGCCTCGCTCTAGCTGTCTCACATTGCTCGGCATTCCACTCACCCGAGCACAACGAGCGGGCTGCAGTTCTTCCCAGTCGCACATGCCACGTGGACCCGGTGACCCGTCACTAGGAGCGACGCCAGGAGGCGCACCGCTTCCACCATCCCAGCAACCTGCACCGCCCAGAAGGAGGGGGGAACACAGAACGGAGAGTGTAGTCTATACGTCTGAAAATTAAATTAGGACCCTGCAACTCATGTGTAGGAGCGACGCCAGGAGACGAACCGCCTCCACCATTCCCGCAACCTGCATCCAATCGTGGAAGAAGGAAGAGGGGACCCGAAAGTGCATACACTTAACATGCATTTGATGTTATAAATTTGAAATAAAATAAAACCCTAACAGATGTGATTATCAGCTTACCATGTATTTGCTTACAATGCATAAAAATGGAGGGCTATGCTACTCTTGGGCTTACCTGCTTCTGCTGGTCGAATTCCGGCACGGGAACGCGGAACATGGCGACGTCGCACTGCTCCGCCCGCTGCTGAACGGCCTTCCAGTCGACGCCAAACGACTCCATCGACTCCTCGCCCTGCCAGAAAGAGGGGGAGAACGAGGATGGGGAATGAGGGATGTCGAAAATCAGTGTGTTTTGAGACGCGCCAGAGGCGTCGCACTATTCTGCCTGCTGCTGAATGGCCTTCCAGTCGACGCCAAACGACTCCGTCGACTCCTCGCCCTGCCATAGACGGGGGGGGACGAGGGATGCGATGGAGACAAAATTATATTTGTAGACGTCTCAATGCACGCAACGCTCCGCCTGCTGCTGAACGGCTTTCCAGTCAACGCCGAACGACTCCATCGACTCCTCGCCCTGAGATAGACGGGGGGAGACGGGAGACTATTGGGTCGACTCCAGAGGAACGCGGAACACGGCGACACTGAACGGCCTCCCGTTTAACGGCGACACTGAACGGCCTCCCGTTTAACGGCGATTTTCAGAGGAAACGCGGAAGACGGCGACTGATTGCATGTTGAGGAGCAAGCAGAACGACATCCGCATGTTGCTCGGCTGGCTCCTGAACGGCCTCCCGTTTCACGCCGAACGACTCCTTTGATTCTTCGCCCCGGCGTGAAGGATGAGGTGATGGAGACCGGGCTTTCGCACGCCTCGATTGATCGCAAATCTATGATAGTGTCTTCTGAGTCGACTCAGAAGTCATCTATGATAGTGCAGGGTGGTTTTGAGAATACCATGTAAATCGCAAATCAATAATAACACCCTGAACGAGAAGCATGAGGTGATGGAGACCGGGCTTTCGCACGCCTCGATTGATCACGAATCTTCTTATCCGTGAAACGCGCGTGCATCTTTCTTCTTCTTATCGTCTGATCTACAGGGCTTTGGGTGATTCCTCCACCCATCCGACGAGCCGATCGCGCGCGCCTGATAGTACGCAATCGGTAGAAAGAAGAAATATGCACGCTTGCAAGGCAACATCGCGACGGCTGTTGTCGCGTACGGCACTCGGGGGAGTCAGGTGGATCGTTGGGTGTCGGATTCCTCGTCTCACCCCAACTCCCAAGATGCAACCACGCGCCTGTTCGACTGTTACAGTGTAACAGATCCACCAGACTGTTACCATACCGGTGTAACCCACCCACAGCACATCCATACCAGATGTCCTTGAGAACCTTCCCCGCTACAGTCACATACAATACGATATCGCCCTCTACAGTCACATCACATACCTGCAAGCACAGAATGGCGATATCGCCCTCTACAGTCACATACCTGCAAGCACAGAATGGCGGTGGCAGTTGTCGCCTGCGCCAGCATCGTCACGTCCTCGGGCCCGGATATCCCGGACCCCACCGACACGCCAGCTGCCAGTGTGATGTGCGTCCACGTCAGCGGCCAGTCCGCCTGCATGCACACCACATCCTCGTCGATAGGGCCTGGGGAAAAGTGGAAGGAGAGGGGGAAGGAAGGGGAAACGGGGGGGAAAGTGGAAGGAGAGGGGGAAGGAAGGGGGAATGGGGGGGAAAGTGGAAGAGAAGGGGAAGGAAGGGGGAATTTTGTGGGGGGGGGGGGGGGGGGAGGGAGGGGGGAAGGGGGGAAGGTAGGGAGAATGGGAAAAGGAGGGGTTGTGCGAAAGGGAGGACGACGCGATTATAAAAATATTCACGTCGCCTCAAATTGCGGAGCACGCGCACCACCTCCCCGTCGATATGACCTGGGGGGATACCGTGGGGGGCGGAGAGAAGGCGAGGGGGGGAAGAAGTCGAGGGGGGAGAGAAAGGCGAGGGGGAATCGAAGGTGAGGCGGAAGAGAATGCGCACCACCACCTCAACAGGGCCCGCGGAAACGGAGAAGTGGGGGGAGGTGGAGGAGAATGCGAGAGAGAGGGTGGGTTGGAAGCTGCGAAGAGGGACCGCGGATGTGGAAGAAAATGCGAGGCTAGGTCAAGGGTCGGTTTGATATCCAAGGGCAGTTATGAAGCAAGTAAGCATCGTTCGCTGGACCCCCGCATCTCCTCCGCTCACTCTTAACCCCATTCACATCTCTGGGCCTCCATCCCCCCAACCCTTCTCCCGTCCCTTCCTCTCCCCACTCCATTCTCCCTTCTCCATTCCCCCTCCCGCCCCTGGGTTGGTGAACTTCGCCTGGCTTACCTTCCGACTTATAAATATCGCGAATCGGCGTGCTCGCTTTCAGCACGCGCGGCTTCATCCCCCCCGCGGTCGCGCGCATGATTCCCCCCGCCTCTCCTCCCGCCAGCTCATTTTCCGCATGCGCACACGAATGGATGTGCTGCAGCATTCGCACTTGGTCCACCATCACACTATTCTCCGCTGAAAATGTGAACTCGTGGGGATTCGAACCCTCGTCTCCAGAGCCCGCAGAATCGCCATTCGCCGCAAGCGACTTCCAACCCTCAACATTTTCTTCCGCTAGCTGCCCGGAAGCGAAATTTTCACTGCGCGCCGAGCCCCTCTGACCGCGCCTCCACCGAAGCCCGTCCGGACCGCGCGGGCTCTCCCCCTCCCCTTCGCTCAGCTCGCCGGGGGAAGGGCATCCAGGCACTAACACGTCGCACTTAAAGCCGTCTCCGCGGCCGCGCCTCCCGGATTCCGATGGCACCAGCACGCCCGGTACATTCCGCCTGTGTGTCCGCGTGAAAGGCGCGCGCATAAAAACGATCCGCGAGCGGTGGCAGAGAAAGCCGGCGGCGCGTCGTTGGCTGTGGCTGTGGTGGTGCGCCTTTGGAACAGCTGGCGACACGTAAGCTGAAGCCGCAAGAGAGGAGGCGGCGGTGGAAGCGGTGGATATGGCGGCCGCGTGTGTACGCGGTTGCGCCTTCCACAATGGCGTTACGGAGGCCTCCATTGGCACAAACAGCTCCTAGTCACGATTCGGTTGAGTGGGTCTCGCTGTTGTGAACCGTGGATCGCGACTAGGGTTGTTGGGTAGACGTCCAAGGGAAGCTAAATTCGTAGTCACAAGTGGAAAGGCACGGAGTTCAGAGGCTAGTCTTGAGGGCTGCTGCTTCTTATCGCCTTTCGGACCAACGCGCATTCATTAGGTAAGGGATGGGTGGGTCACACTACAACTCACGGTCATGATGACTCGAGTCGAGTCGACTCATGGGTCATTGTGTGAGCCTCACCTAACGCGAAGGTCGGCGTTTCACTTGCAGTCCAGCCAAAGCAAAGCAAACGGCCGAGCAGCGAGCGAGCAGAGGAAACGAAACCCTAGCCCCAAGCACACAGGTTCATCGAGCTGAGCCCAGAAATTCAGTTACACACACAACAATGATTGAGGCGGTTGAAGGTGGTTTAGAGAGTTTTAAAAATGTTTGCGCTCGGTTGGATTGTTGGGGTGCCTCTGCCTGCAACATTCTCGTATGCGCGGCTCGAATAAAGTCCATTTTGCTGGCCACTTTCATTCCCTTACCCGCGGAGATCCGACGTGGCTGAAGTGGCGAACTCGTCACCACATATGGAAATGCACCATGTGTCCAAGTACACGACTAGAAGCCTGCCCAACGGATACCTGCCCGAAAGTCAAATTTGCATCCACCCACTGTTTCAAGGCCACCAGCTTGTGCTGACGAGGATTGAGCAGAAAGAGATTTCGCGCGACGCGAGAGTGGATGTGCACACACGTGCTGGAAGTGCCCGGAACTGTTTCGGATCAGGGAACACCTCACCACCACCTCACATTTGGGGCAGCCCTGCTGAACTGCAAACAAGACAACTGCAGAGTTGTGATAACCGAGTGTGTTACACCGAATACACTGAGAATACGAGTAATCGTGGCATTGCCTTCATGGGCCAACAAAACAACGCATTATGGCCCAAATACTTCCATTGCTTGAGGGAGGGGAGAATAAACTGAACTGAGCAGCATGTTAAAAAGGCACTGGAATGTTGTACCACATTGCAGAGTCTATTGCAGGAAAGCAAATTGTATACTAGACTCTTCTATTTCATCAGCTTCCGCAGAGCAAACTTCTGCTGTCGTTTCAGCTCGAGCCGCAGCTCACTCTTCTTGCGATTCCACTTCCCCTCCTCTGCCTCAGATTTGAGGAAGCTTCCTCCCATCTCCATCAGAAGCTTCTCAATATCCCCCGCACCTTTGGCTTCCTCCAACGCCAACAGACCAGGTAAACCTCCCCCAGATGAACCTCCCCCCTCCCTCTCTCCTCCACTCCCTTCCAGCCCTCCTCCCCTTCCACCTCCTCCCCACCCCTTCCCGAACCTACCTCCCCTCCCTCCTCCCCAATCTCTCCCACCCCTTCCCCCTCTCCAACCTCTCCCTCCACCCTCCCCTCTCCCTGCAATTCCAACACCAGCACCAGCACCAGCAGCACCAACACCACCAGTCCCACCACCAGCAGCACCATCACCCAAGCCAGCTCTTGCAGGCGCTGCTATTTCCGCCCCAAACAATGACCCCCCTTCCTTCCTCCCACCTCCCTCCGCCTCCCTCTCCCTTGTCTCCCCCCCTTCCCTTTCCTCGTCCCTTCCTGCCTCACCCCCCTTCACCTCTCCCTTCATTTCTTCCCTCCCTTCTCCCTCCTTCCCGCCTATCTCCCTCAGCAGAGGTTTAAGTGAGAAGGCCAGTTTGCCGTCAGCACTGGTGAGGGATTTCCACGTGAATTTCTGCACCCATGCACTGCCGGCTTGCTCCTCCCTCTCTGATAGACCCCCGCTCGGTTCGGCAGCAGCAGCAGCTGCAGTGACGGTCGAAGTTCCAGCAGCAGTAGCCCTGCCACCACCGCTACTAGCAGCGGCAGCAGCAGAGCTGCCACCACCACCACCTCCATCATCATCATCACTTGGTGATTCTGAATCTTCCCTCTTCTGCCGCTTCCCTCCATCCTCCCCAGCATCCGGCTCCCCAAGTGAGCCTTTCCTCTTCTCTCTCCTTCCCTCTCTCCCCTTCTCCCCTCCCCCCTCGGCTCGACTCTCCTCCTTAGCGTTCTTGCCATCTTCCTTGCGCTTCCCAGCGCCATCCCCTTGCACGCCAGCATCCCCTTCCCCAGCAGCCAATGCAAACAGGCTGTCCCACGACGGTGCTGCTGTCTCCTTCCTTTGGCATTTCTCCTGCTCGCCTCCTTCCTCCTCCTCCTCCTCTTCCTCCTCATCCTCCTCCTCATCCTCCTCTTCCTCATCCTCCTCCTCCTCGTCCTCGTCGTCCTCCTCCTCCTCCTCCTCCTCCTCATCCTCCCCCTCTTCCACCTCGTCCTCCTCCCCTTCTTCCTCCTCTGCCTGCCCTTCGTCTCCCTCCTCTTCCTGTGTTTCCTCCTCCTCCAAACCTTCTTCTGCCCCATCATCAACCTCTTCTCCACTCTCCTCACTCTCACCCCCCTCCTCCGCCTTCTCTCCATCTCGCTCCTCTCCCCCCTCTCGTTCCCTCCAGCCCCCTACCTCTCTGTCCTCTTCCCCTCCTTCCTCCTCCCTCTCTTCTCCCCTGTCCCCCTCCGCTCCTTGCTCAACTGCTTCCACCCTCTTCCCACCCCTCCCGTCATCATCCACTCTTTCTTCCTCCTCCCCATCCTCCTCCCCATCCTCTTCCCCATCCTCTTCCCCATCCTCGCCCTCGTCCTCCTCTCGCACTCCCTCATGACCATCCCCATTTCCGTCTTCTCCTTCTTCCTCCATGGAACTCCCATCCTCTTCTTTCCCTTCCACCTTTGGCCTTTGCCACTCTTCCACCTCATCTTCCTCATCCTCCTCCTCCTCTTCCTCCTCCTCCACTTCCTCCTCCTCTTCCTCCTCCTCTTCCTCCTCTTCCTCCTCCTCCTCTTCCTCCTCCTCCTCCACATCACACGAAGCAACAGCAAACAACCTCTCCCATTTAGAAACCCCCCCCACCGCCCCTTCTCCCTTCCCCTGCCCCTTCGCCCTCCCATCACTAACACCCTTTCCCAGCACATCCCCCCCTCTTTTATCCTCCACTGCACCTCCCCTGTTCCTCGCATGAGGTATTTCCTTTCCAGCGGCTGTCACCTCCCCCAGCTCCGAGCAAGCTTCACCTTTCTGCCCTGGTAATGCTTCAACGGCCTTTCCCTGCGATCGCCCTGCATCAACGGCTTTCGCAGCTGCTGCTGTACCAGCGACCACCCCAGCAGCTACACCAGCAGCCACACCGACAGCCACACCCACGGGCGTTTCTGGAAGCATCATGGGACTCGAATCACTACCTCTCACGGCCTTCCCAGATGATTTCTTGGTGTCTTTGGTAGGCTCACTCCATGTCAGGTTCACATTCAGACCATCCTCCTCCTCCTCTTCTTCCTCCTCTTCTTCCTCTTCCTCTGCCTGCCCCTTCTCCTCGTCTTTCTGCGCCCTATCTTGCTCTTCTATCATCACCACATCACCCTCTCCCCCTCCCCTGTCACCCCCCTCCGCATCCTTCTCCTTCCCCTTGACCGTCATTCCCCCCTCCACCTTCCCCCCTCCCCCTTCCAGCATCAGGAACCGCTGCAGCAGCCGCCTCTGCATCTCCCTCTCTCTCTCCAACCCCCCCTCCCCCCCCTCCTCTCCCTCCCCCTCCTCCTGCTCCTCCCCTAAACCCGCATGCCCACCAGCCATCGCTCCTCCTTCACCGATTCCCATCATCGCATCCATGCTCATTCCTTCTAGTCCCTCACTCCCTCCCCTCCGAGCAGCAGCAGCAGCAGCAGAGGCAGCAGCAGCAGCAGCAGCAGCAGCAACAGCACCAGCGCCACCAGCAGCATCAGCATCATCTGCAGCAGCAGCAACAGCGGTGGCAGCAGCCGCACTTGCGAGCACAGCAGCAAGGGAAGGCTCGACCGCAAGACGCTGGAAGCTGCGCTTGTGCTTTCCACACCCTGGCCCTCCTGCTGCCGGCATGCGCCGGGTCTGTTAGGGGGTATGAGATGGTAAGGACAGAACAGCACACGGGGAGGAGGAACAATGAGACGGGCAGACGAACAATCGAGGCGGCCGCAACCCAGCCTTACTGCTGCTGACATGCGCCTGGTCTGAAGGAAAATAGGAGGAGGGCGATAACGACAACAGGGTTTCGGGTTCAAACAGCAGCAGAAACGGAGAGGAGGAGGAGGGGAAGGGGGGCGGGGGGGGGGGGAGGTTATATTTTTAGTTAAAAATTTCATGAGGAATCGGCAACAGGGAAAGTAGGCAACAGCACGATTCAATACCTTCTTCCCTCCACGCCAGGCCAGATTCACAGGCTCCAGCTTGCGATTTTTGAGTGCCGCTACTTCCTCCGGACTCAGGCACCCACTCGCAGGAGCCTGCGTAACCTGGTTACCACTGCTTTGCTCCGCCTCCGTCCTCTCCCTCTCCTCCCTCTCCTCCCCTCTTTCCGTCTCCTCTCGCTGTTTCGTGTTCTTCTCGATAAAGCTCTCTCTAGCTGCCTCCACGCGCAGCCGCCCCCCCTTCCACATGCACCCGTTGTACTGGTCAGGGGGAAGGGGGGAAGTGGGAAAGGGGGGAAGGGGGAAGGGGGGAAGTGGGAAAGGGGGGAAGGGGGAAGGGGGAGAGGGGACGGGGGAGATGGGGAGTTTTGAGGCGTTTCAAAACAGTTCCACGCGCACCCGGCCCACCTTTCACAAGCACCGGCGATACTGGTCAGTTTGGGGGGAAGGGAGGAAGGGGGGAGTGGGGGGAGGGAGAGAGGAGGGGGGAGATGGGGGGTTCTTCCAGGCGTCAAAACAGTTGCAGGCACACCCGGCCCACCTTCCACATGCACCTGTCCCGTTGTACTGGTCAGTTGCGTAGGAGGAGGGGGAGGAGGTGGGGGGGGGAGGAGGGGGGGGGAGAGGAACGAGAGGGGGGAGATGGGGGCTTTTCAAGGCGTCAAAACAGTTGCAGGCACACCCGGCCCACCTTCCGCATGCACCAGTTGTACTAGTCAGTTTGGGGGGGGGGGGATGGGGGTGGGGATGGAAAGAGGAGGTGGGAGATGGGGGGTTCTTCAAGGCGTCTCAAAACAGTTCCACGCGCAGCCGCCCCCCCTTCCGCGTGCACCCGTTGTAATGGTACGGGGCGGCGGAGCGGTGTGAAGGGGGGGGGGGTGGGGAGGGGAAGTGTGGAAGGGTGGGGGGGGGGAGGAGAGGAAAGACGGACGGGGAAGGGACGGATGAAAGGCCGAGTCTCACATTGAGTGAGTCACGAAGTGGACGGGTCAGCTGGATGGGTCAGCTGGATGGGTCACGAGGGAAGTTCAAGAAGTGGTGCAGGGCCACGAACCAAGACTCACCAGCGACAGGCACTGGTGCAGGGCCTTCGCGGACTTGGGAACCATGTCCACGTATGCAAAGCCACGACACACTGCCACGTGGCTGCACTGTAGATCGGCTGCATCTCGGCTCGCCCCGTGCGATGGACGGCCAGGATTTGTTTCCCATGAGGGAGGCACCGCTGCGGCGGATTGGGACGATGGAAGCAGCTGGTGCGACTTGGCGAGAATCACGCTGACTTCGTTGACCTGCCCGAACGGCTCGAATCTACCTCGCACTTCATGTTCGGAAACGTTCCCGGGCAGCCCGCCGACAAATAATCTCACGCGGACCGGCAACGCGTCACGTTCGGGAGGAGCTGTACCCGCACCAGCTGGTGACGGTTCTTTTGCTGCGGGTTCGTTGTAAGGCGCCTCATAACCAGGAGTAGCTGCGTCGCGAGAAAACTGGGAGGTATTTTCGCGCGACGAAGGCGTGGTAAGTGGCATCGCGGAACCTACGCTACCTGGAGTTAGCGATTCCCCTAGATTATTGCGATTCGGAACGAAGATTTGCTAGCTAGACCACAGTGAGGAAAATATCATCAGGTTTAGGGAATAGGGTTTGGCTAGGGTTGACTTGAACATTCTATCCATCCCCGAATTTCGATATCTGCCCAGCTCTATTATATTCAGTACACTTCAGTGCTCGCGACGCCTATGCTACTCTTTGATTCCCTCCAACAATCTCATGACCGAACGTGCGAAAACCTTCAGTAACCCGTCGACACTTTCGTCAGAACCGTCGTAACCAAAATCGACTCTTTTCTCCTCGCCAGATCGTCGCTCCACCAACCAATGGTATTGTGCAACCGCCCCACAATTCCCGAGGCTGCCTCCAATTTCAGCTGAAACTTCCCCCTAAAACTGTCGCACACACCTCTTCCCGCACCACTCCGCAATGTGCAGTCGAACGGCCTCCAGCAGATAACATTCAAAATAGGCAGGAACTGGCACATCAGCGTCAGATTAGCCTGGGCTGGACACCTTGTTATGCGCACCAGTACATTAGCCATATTATCCAGCTCCGCCCTGGATTCTAGATGTCTGGCAAGTCGGCGCGACGTGGCCCAGATGGGCTGGCACGATTTTATTGAAACGCCTCAGTTCGCGTATTAGCATGAGCGAACAACAGTCAGTTCTGGTAGCGACACGTGTCACTGATTTTCTGGTCGACAACATCGTACGGCAACAGCAACAGCATCTGGTCTCCAGAAGACAACTACAGCACTGCGAGTCTGCTGCAAGCGAGGATGAACAGCACCCGCGAACTGCGGACAGCAGCCTTACTCCGTTTATTGAAACATCATATACGCCTCGGCCGTTCTACCATTCAGTTCCGCCTCTCCCTTCTCCCCCTCCTCCTCCTCTACTGTCTCGGTGTTGCCAGCAGCAGCAGCAGCGGCAGCGGCAGCGGCAGCGGCAGCACTGGGAAAAGCGACGATAGCACGTTGTTTCTGGGTCGGGTGTCCCAATTCGAGAATGAGCTCACCGATCAGCTGCACCAGAGCAACACGACTGAACCGATCAGACCACCGCAACCCAAGTCAACGAATTCAACGGAGTCGACTGAATCAACGAGATTAACGAAGTCAGCAGAACGGAGCAGCTCAAAACCAAAAGCCAGCTCGAAGGCAAAAGTCAAGCCAATTATTATGAGCAAAACCGGCGTTGAGCTTAATAACCCAAACCTCCCAATTCCCGCCACTCCAGAAGGTTCCCCGCTCCTCCCTCCCTTCCCGGACTCCATACTCGATACAACCACCCTCGATACAAGCATAACCCGCAGCCAACTAGCCAACGCGTATCTAGAATACTTCAAGTTCCACATCCCCCAGAAAGAGGTCCGGCTACAGTGCGCTGGTGCAAGCTGTCCGAACCTCGCGCCCTGTGGCCCGGCGTTCCCGAACCTGCAAGCCTGCCACCGAACTGACGTGGTGGCGCCGATCCACATCGACCCCGGACCTCCGGAGAACTGTCCGAAGCTGGAGCATGAGGAGGAGATGGGTGGGAAGGGGGCGGATTTGGCGTGTTCGCATGCGGGGGACTATGTGCGGCATGACCGGACGCTGTTCCAGTATTTTGAGATGCGGGATGTGCTGATGGACTGGAACGGCGTTGTGTTCAACCGCTCCATGCACTTCTTCCGCCATGGCTGCTTCTCCGATGCCGATGTGAGCTTGCAAGGGTTAGAGCCTCGGTTTTCTGAGTTGCGGGATGCGATGATCGAGTGAGATAGAGTGGTGTTCAATAGCTCCTTAACTTCTTCCGCCATGGCTACTTCGCCGACGCCGAGGTGAGTCATGAGGACCACTTGAAAGTTATTCAAGTATATGTCTGTCAGTCACCGTGGCTGCTTACGTGGCATGGATGGGACTGCGTCATTAAGATGGCATACATGCCATTTAAGTGCATTAATTTCACCATGGTGTACACACCAGCCACCAGTTCCCTATCCTTTATGCCCCCCTACGCCGTCCTCCCCACATTCCCCATCCTCTGCCATCTCCCACCCCGCCCCCCTCCTCCCTCCCCTTTCCTCCCAATCAGTGCGCCTACCCCAGCAGCAACACCACGGTGCAGCGGGTGGGGCGCATGGTGAGCATGGTGTACACGGTGCACGCCTGCCACCAGCTTCTACCACAGTGAACCTCACATTCAGGTGGCTCATAACACAACTCCGCCCTCTTCTCCATCTCCCCCATGCCATCAGTTTGCCTATCCCAGCGGCAACACCACGGTGCGGCAGGTGGGGCACATGGTGAGCATGGTGTACACGCCTGCCACCAGTGTCACCTCCCCAGTGGCTCCCTCTCACCTCACTCACATCCCTACCCTGTATCCCCAACCCAGTTCGCCTACCCCAGCGGCAACACCACGGTGCAGCGGGTGGGGCGCATGGTGAGCATGGTGTACACGCCTGCCACCAGCTTCTACCACTCCATCATCGAGTGGGTGCCTCAGTGGCTCGTGCTGAGGGAGCTGCTGGAGGAACACCCGAACATGCTCATAGCCATGCGCGCTGCTCAGGTAAGGGCATCGACGTTTGAGTCGCCTCTTGGTCACTCCATGGCAAAGTGGGTGCCGCAGTGGCTGGTGCTGAGGGAGCTGCTGGAGGAGCATCCAAACATGTTGATCGCCATGCCCGCTGCCCAGGTGAGTGCTGAGGTGACTGGAAGGGCAGGCAGGTGTGTGTGGACACTGCGCACAGTGCACGGACTGTGAGGCGCCACAAGAGCCACTACCACTCCATCATCGATTGGGTGAGTGCCCAGGTGATTATGCGTGCAGCTGCAGCAGCAGTACAACATCACTGACGCACACACATCTTGGAGTGGAGTCACCCAGCCAGGCAGCCAGGCAGCGCACATCAATCCTTCTCCGAACTCGAGTAGCAGTTCACCTCGTGTCTGTGTTTCTGCGTGCGTGTGTTTGTCTATGGTTGCTCGCAGCTGCAGCTGTACAACAGCACACTGAAGCACATCATGGGAGTGGAGCCGGCACACATGAACCTTTTTCTTTCCTTGACTGAATGGTCACTCCGTCTGTGTCCGTGTGTGTGTGTCACCCATGCATGCATGCATGTGTGTGCCATGCGTGCAGCTGCAATTGTACAACAGCACACTGAAACACATCGTGGGAGTGGAGCCAGCAAGCATGAATCTGCTGGTTTTGGACTGGCAGCACCGCAGCACCCTCTTTCACGCACAGGCACTCTACCAGGTAGTCTGCACCAGCTAGCCAAGGTGCTTGTTTCTGCACACTGTTTCTGCACACTAGGAGGGTTAGCAAATCCTTGGACATCTTCCAGTGAGCGTGGTGACGGGAGCACCCTATTTTTAGGCGCCTCAAAAATAGGCTCCTCACCGGCACTCTACCAGGTAGTCTGCACCTGCTAGCCTAGGTGCTTGTTTCTGTGCACTTGGAGTGAGAAGTACTTGTTTTCAGCACTGCTCCCCTGCCACTTAACAAACACGTTCCTTCCTACACTGCACGTGCCGCATGCTACTTGTTTGCAGCACTGCTGCCGTATCATGCTCCTCCCAGCCTCTCTCTATGTTGTAGGGGATTTTTAACAATTCGAGAATTCTCAGAAACCTCTATTTATGTAGTAGGGGATTTTTTAGAAAAAAATAAAAATAAAATAAAAAAATCACCTATTTCCAGCACTGCTTCCATATCACGCTCCTCCCAGCCTCTCTTTTTCTCTCCTCCCCTGCAACCATTCCTATAGGACCCCTTTGCGCGTAATGAGTATATTTTTTAGTCGACTAAAAAAAAGACTCCCTCTCTCTCTCTCCTCCCCTGCAAGCATTCCTATAGGGCCCCTTCTAATTCCGGCGCCCTTGCAACTTCTGCACATCTGTTCGTCACTGTCTGCCTTTCAGTTTATCTCCACCCCCATCACCCTCCCCATGCATCCCTCCCTCCCACCACATCCCTACCCTGCCAGCCTTCTCTGCTCAGTCCCTCTCTACTTTCCTGCTCTCCCCTTCCCCCCATACCCCCCCCTCCCCAGCCTGTACACTGCTGCTGCGGCCGTGCCACACCCACTATATGGCGCTTCCAGATCTGAGGCACTTTCCTTCCTCTCCCCCCCCCCCTCCCCACTTTCCCATCTCCCCCCCCCACTATCCCCTCCCCTCAGCCTGTATACCGCTGCTGCGGCCGTGCCACACCCACTATGTGGCGCTTCCTCCGCCGAAACTTTTTCCTTCCGCCCGACGGGCTGCCCTTCTTCGAGCCCGAAACTTTCCGCCTGCGCCGAACCTCCCCTCTAAGCTACCAAGACGTAACAGACTTACTTAGCCAGCGCGAGGAGCAGCAGTCGCACCAGAATCGCCGGCTGGATGTGCTAAAACCTGCACCTGTGCCGAGCCTAGCGGAGACGTTCGGGATGACGACGGGGCTGAACTGGGTGACGATCCTGGTTCGGAGGCCTGGGAATCTTTCGCGGAATCTGGAAGAGAGTGTGTATGAGAGAGTGGAGGGGCGGATGAGGCTGGAGTTTGGGGAGAGGAGGGTAGTGGTGTTCGATGGGAGTCTGCCACTCATGGAAGGTGAGTGAGTGTGCGAAAGACAGAGAGCAGGACAGAGAGAGAGTGTGAGTGTGAATCAATGAGTAGGACCATTTGAGTGAGTGTGTGAATTAGTAGTGCTCCTGCTTTCCGCCTTTCATCCATCGTGCTTCAAGTCAAGTAATAGCAACCCCCCTTGTTTTCCCCCCATTGTACCAACCAACCCCCTCCCCCCTCCCCCCTTCCCCCCTTCCCCCCCTCCCACCATCACCCCCTTTGTAGCCCGTGCTCTCTTCCGTCGAGCCGCCCTATTGGTCGGCACGCACGGAGCCGCCCTGACCAACCTCCTCTTCATGCCACGTGGCGCTTTCCTATTGGAGATCCGCCCGCGGGGTTACCCCAACGCGTGTTACCACCACCTAGCCAGCGTGTCGCAGATGCACTACTGGCTGCTGCTGGGGAATGGGACAAAAGACTCCGCCCTGGCGGTGGACCCGGGGGAGGTGCTATCTACGATAAGGGAAGTTGCCGGGAGGGTGTTTGCTTCTGTTAAGGGGGAGGGGAAAGAAGCGGGAGAGAGGTTGGGGGAGAGATTGAAAAGGGAAGAGGAGGAGAAAGAAAAGAGGGAGAAAGAAAAGAGAGAGAAAGAAAGGAGAGAGAAAGAGAAGAAGAGTGCCGAGGCGAAGAGAAAGAAGGGAGTTGGTAGTGGTGGTGCTGGTGGTGCTGTCAGGGCATCTCCTACCACTGTAGCCAGTACTGCTACCGCTGGCGCTACGGCATCCCCTGCTACAGCTGCTGCTACAACTGCTGCAAGTGCTGCAAGTGCTGCACCAGCTACCACCGACGCTGCTCTCACTACCCAGCCCGACATTTCAGATTCCTCTAGCCCCTTTCCCACTTCACCCCTCCCCTCCATATCTACCTCGTCCGAGTCCGACCCCATTCCCCCCCTCATTTCTACCACCACTCCATCCTCGCCCACCTCTCTCCCCATCCCGCCCCTCCCGCCTCCCACCTTCCCTATCCCCCTCGCCTCGTCCCCCTCCTTCCCCTCCGGTTGCGCCTGTTACCGCCTGCGTAACGCCTTCTGCTGCACGCAGGCCGTGTGCGTGTGCCGCAATGTCTGCTACAACGGGTCGGCATTGCTCGGCAGATTCGGGCCCGATACCGTGGATCCCGAGGTTGGGGACAATGGGTCTTCTTCTTCCCTCTCCGCCTCCCCTTTGCCCTTCCCCTTCCCCCCGCGCTCCCCCCACCCCTGTCTCCCCCCCGTCCACGCCCCCCCCACGGCCAACAAGACCGCCCTGCTCTTCCCCACTTCCTGCTCCAACCTGCCACAGTTTGGCCGCATGCTGAGGTCAGCCTTGTCAGAGGCGCCTGTGAAAGGGGGGCTGCAGGGTGCAGGGGATGGCAGGTGGCAGCGGTGGGTTGAGGGAGGGGCAGAGTGGCGAATGGGAGGCACACTGTTTGTGCCACTCACGCATCAGACGACCAACGTGGCGCACTTTCTAGGTGAGAGCGGGGTTTTGATCAGGGAAACGGTTGGGGGGGGGGTTGGGAATGCTTTTGTGAATAGAGGATGCACTGCTGAGGTCAGCCTTATCAGAGGCGCCTGTCAAGGGGGCCTGCAGAGCGCGGGGGATGGCAGGTGGAGGCGGTGGGTTGAGGGGGGGGCGGAGTGGCGAATGGGAGGCACTCTGTTTGTGCCGCTCACGCACCAGACGACCAACGTGGCGTGCGTTCTAGGTGAGAGGGTGGGGTTTTGATTAGGAGAAGGGAGGATCAAGGGAGGATTAGTTCGCATCCCCTTCTCTTCCTTCCCAACCCTGCAATCTCGTCTCTGTTCCAGCCACTCGAGTCTGTGTCAAAATCCCTACGAAGAGTGTGGTACCTGGGTTGTGCAACCCATCGAAGTGTATTGTGAGTCGACTCAGCCTCTCCAGTTTGTGTCAAAATCTTTTCCAAGGGCGTGGTACTTGCGTTGCACAACCCATCGAAGTTGTGCGACCCAGCCTGGTTACCGGGCTCGCCGAACCTCTCATGGTGTGTGAGAGACGGGTTGAGTTTGTTTGGGTTGGGTTGGGTAGGTTTAGGTTTTTCGTCAGTTGCACACTCCGGGTCGTGGTCTCGAGGCAAAGAGCAACCCATGTACCACGCCCTAATTCTGTTCCTTTGATAACCTCCTTTACATGGGCGTGGGGCAAGCCCGTGTATTTAGCCTCTTTTACATGGCCATGGGGCACGCCCATGTATTTAGCCTCCTTTACGTGGGCGTGGGGCACGCCCGTGTATTTAGCCTCCTTTACATGGGCATGGGGCACGCCCATGTATTTAGCCTCCTTTACATGGGCGTGGGGCACGCCCGTGTTTTTAGCCTCCTTTACATGGGCGTGGGGCACGCCCGTGTATTTAGCCTCCTTTACATGGGCGTGGGGCACGCCCATGTATTTAGCCTCCTTTACATGGGCATGGGGCACGCCCATGTATTTAGACTCCTTTACATGGGCCTGGGGCACGCCCATGTATTTAGCCTCCTTTACATGGGCGTGGGGCTCGCCCGTGTATTTAGCCTCCTTTTCCCATTCTCTACATGCAAGGCGGCACACATCTTTCTGGTGACATTCCGAGGCCGCTCTGCATCAAACCCTTCACGAGAGATTGTTTAGAAAACTCAAAACCCCTTCACGAGAATTTCTCTCCTTCTGAACCCATCCTCTTATCCTGTTTGCGAATTCTCAAAAACCAACTGTCCTGCTGCAGGAAAGGCGGCTCACATCCTGCTGGTGAACAACGTCACGTCCAATACGGGCCTGCCACGTGTCGACAGGTTCCTGCTGCCTCGCGCTGATTGGACCGTGCACAGGTGATCCCTCTCCCTCCCTCCCCCTTTTTTTCTCCTTCTCTTTCGCACACTCTCTCCCATTCTTCACATCTCACTCTCTCCCCTCCTTCCCTTGCTCTCCCCCTCTCAAAACAAAGGAGCCTGGGTCACACGCCTCCCTGCCCTCCATGCTCCACCTCCTCCTTCGCATGGTTTTGAGTCGACTAAAAAATCAGCCGTGCCTGCTGCCACAGAGGGCAGGAATTTTTTAGTCAACTCAAAAGTCACCTGCGTGCCACATGCCACCTTCCCCTCCATGCTCCACCTCCTCCACTTGGTGAAATCCCTTGTGCTCCCTCTCTAGTCCCCTCTCTCTCGCCCCCCCCTTCTTCATCTGGCCGCACTCGCTCGTTCTCCCTCCCTGTGTCCCCTTTTTAGCCCCTCAGAATGAAGCAGCATGGCCCACTCGGCTGGCTCTCCTCAATGCTGCACCTCCTCCCCCGCATGGCGCTAGAACCCTTCCTCCCCTCCTCCCTCGTGTTCTCCTCTCCTCCTCCCCGTTCTCCCGCTTGACCACCCTCTTTTCCCCTTCCCTTCCCGGCTGCCCTCCCTAACCCGACACCAGAATGAAGGGGCACGGCCCACATGGCTGGCTGCCGTCAATGCTGCACCTCCTCCTCCTCCTTGGCATGGGCGCTGCCCGCCATTCCTCCCCTTGACTCTTTCCTCTCTCTCCCCCCTCTTCGCCTCTCTTGTTTCCCCCGCAGAATGAAGGAGCATGGCCCACACGGCTGGCTGCCCTCCATGCTGCACCTGCTCCTCCGCATGGCACTCGAGCCCCTCCTGCCCTCCTCCCTCCTGCCCGCCCTCCTCGCCTCCATCTCGCCCTCCGCCCTCCTCGGCCCCGGCCCTTTCGCCGGTGGGCGGGTGGAGTTTGAGGCGCAGCTGAACGCAGCGAGTGACAGCAGGCCCATGTGCTTCGACACACTCGTCATTCCTGGCTTCCTCAAGGTGCGCTCTTCTCTCCTTGTACTCTCCTCGTTACTCTTCCTCCCTCCTCCCCTCCCTCCTTGCCTCCATCTCGCCCCCCTCCCTCCTTTCCTCTGGCCTTTTTGCTGGTGGGAGGGTACAGTTTGAAACCAAGTTAAATGCAGCCAATGATGACAGACCCATGTGTTTCGACACCCTCGCTGTTCTCGGATTCCTCAAGGTGCGCTCTTCTTTCCAAGGCTGGTGCGCCTCAAAGGCTGGTGTGCAGGTGGGGTTTGAATTACGGTTAATTGCCGCGAGTGATGCGAGACCCATGCAGAGCTGGTTAGGCAGCAACTGAGGAAGGTGCTTCTCGCCCCTTTTTCCCAGGGCATTGCGCACATCTCACCCCTTCAGGCAATCACATTCCGCCGCGTTGCAGCAGAACCGGAGATAGTGAGGCAGCGACTGAGGAAGGTGCTTCCTGTTCCCACCACCACCACCACCAAAATAAAAATAAAAATTCCTATCTCCCATCTTTCATCCCCCTCCTATCTCCCATCTTTCATCCCCCTCAGGCCATCACGTTCAACGGCATGGCTGCAGAAGCGGAGATGGTGAGGCAACAACTGAGGGAGGTGTTTCTCACGCCTGATGGCCGACCAGTGGCGGACATCATGGCAGGGAGCAGCGCTGGCAGCAGCAGCAGTGGTGACAGCGGCAGTAGCAGCGCCTTAACCAGCAGCAGCAGCAGCAGCAGCAGCAGCAGCAGCAGCGATCGGCATTATCCTGATGACGGGTCGCCGGTTCGTCTGCTGTACGTGACTCGCAACGACACCATGACCACCGGGAGGCGGGTCATGCATGCCGACAGCCACAAGGCACTACAGGAGCTGTTTGGGCGGCTCAACTTCCAGGTAACGATGCAGTATGCATGTGCAGGGGGCACATGTCTCTGAAGGGGCCGTAATGCTTGCAAGTTAATGCATGCATGCTCGTCTGGTGCAAGGCAATGCATGCATGCTCGTCTGGTGTAAGGTGAAGCATGCATGTTCGGCTGCTGTTTGTGACTCACAGCAACACCATGACCAGGTGACACCATGACCAGGTGACACCATGACCAGGTGACACTGACAGAATGCTCCGTCCCCCCGCAGCAGGCGAGCAGCTAGCCTTAACCGATTCGGCTGGAATCATCGTTTCTCTTCACAGGGCTGGCCTCACCAACTCTTACCCCCTCTCCCACCCACACTCTCGTGCTCGCCCTCCCTCCTCCCCCCGCAGGTGACTAGGATTGAATACTCTATCCTCCCATTCGACCAGCAGCTAGCCCTCTCCAGTCCTCGCCCTATCTCTCTAACACCCACACTCTCTCGCTCACCCTCCCTCCTCCCCCCACAGGTGACCATGACGGAATATGCCGTCCTCCCATTCGCTCAGCAGCTAGCCCTCACTGATTCTGCTGAGATCATTGTTGCTCTTCTTGGCGTTGGTCTCACCAACCCCACTCGCTTCACTCACCCACACTCTCTCGCTCACCCTCCCTCCTCCCCCTACAGTTGACAATGACAGAATACGCCGTCCTCCCATTCTCTCAGCAGCTAGCCCTCACTGATTCAGCTGAGATAATCGTGGCTCTGCACGGCGCAGGGCTCACCAACCCCACCTGTTTCGCCCGCACCGACGCGATCGTCCTCGAGATCTCCCCCTTCGGAGTGTTCTACGATCTTTATTACTACACTGCTATAAACGCGGGGATAAACTATATGCAGTATCAGTGCACTGCAGGGCCTCCGCCTGCGCCTGCTAACGATTCGCTCTATGCGGGGATGAGTCCGATGGAGTGCGATAGGGATGCGGCTTGTAAGAAGTATCGGACGCACACCCGCAAGGTACATTTGGCCGATAAAGACGTGGAAGGAATAAGGAAACTGCTGGAACTTGCCAAGGAGTTTGTGACTGATGTCAGGCGATATGGGAGGGAGGAGGCCGGAAAGCGGTTGCAGCAGTCATATGGGGATCGGTGTGTGGAGAAGAAGTTGAGAAAGGAATGTAGGATGAGCTTTTTGCGATCTCCTCTAGCTGAACCGGATTATGAGTGTGTGCTGTCACTTGATTGCCCTTATATTCAGCCTACATGATGTTTTGCTGTGTAATTATCTTAGACCTTACTGGTATATGTATCTTATCCCAAGTCTCCCAGGTCGCTGCGGCTTGCTTGTGTCAGTCGCTCAATCAACCGTCGCTTCTGTGGCACCACCGCCTAGGTCACCCCGCACTACCGCGCATGCGTCACATGTCCCAGCATGGTCTTGTCTTAGGTCTCCCTGCGTCGCTCCCTGCTCTCCCTCCCTCGCCTGCGCAGTCGTGCACGCCTTGCGTCGAGGGCCGGCTGCGCTGTGCTCCTCACTCTTCCTCGCTCCCCCCTACCTCTGCGCCACTCCAGACCCTGCACCTGGACGTCTAGGGCCTAGTCCTCGTCCCTGGGCCGCGTCGAGAGCGCTGCTTTCTAGTGCTTGTCGACGACTACACGCGCTACACCATGATGTTTCCCCTGGAGCGGAAGGCCGACGTGCCTGACGTTCTTATCCCATGGGTTGTAGCTGCGCGAGTCCACCGCGGCCTCCCTCTGGTGCGTCTTTACTCTAAGCGTGGCAGCGAGTTCGCCTCTGGTCGGCTTGGCCAGTTCTGTCATGCAGAGGGCATCACCCAGTCGTACACCCTGCCGGACTCCCCACAGCAGAATGTGGTCATGAGCGACGCATCGATTTGGTCATAGAGGTGGCTCGTACCTCCTTGATCCATGTCGGGCACCCCATTTTCTGTGGTCGTTCGCTGTTCGCTACGCCGCTCACCAGCTTAACCTGTGGCCACACTCCCAGCGGCCGCAGGTTTCGCCGACCCTCCTCTTGACTGGGTCCCCTGGTGATGCGTCTGCGTTTCACGTCGGGGGCTGCCTTGCTCACGTTTGTGCCTCTGGCACGGATAAGCTCACTAACTTGGCTTCCCCCTAGACGCGTCTGACTGGTACTTTTATCACCCACCGTCTCACCGTTTCTTTCACTCCCGTGACTTCACTTTTGACGAGTCTGCCTCCTTCTACACCTGCTTTTCCCACCGAGGTCTCCCGGTTACCCTGCCCCTGTTTCTCGTCCCCACTCCCCTGGTCTCCTCTCCCTCCCCTTCCTGCCTCGTCTGGTGTGTCTGACATCACTCCCCTCTCGCCGGTTGTCCCGGTGGAGGATTCGGCTGACTCTGGGGGCCCTGCTGCTCCAGTTTTGCCGCCTGTCTCTGCCCCAGTGTCTCCTCCTCCGCCGCCGCAGTAGTAGCAGCCGCCGTTGCCGCCGCACTAGCAACCACCGTCGTTGCCGCAGAAGCAGCCGCAGCAGCAGCCGAAGTCGCCGCCGCCGCAGGGGTCCGCGAGCTTTGGGGGTGCGGGTGTTGAGGAGGGTGTTAGTCCTGGGGGTACTGTCGTGGCTTGTCCCGATGGTCCTGGGGGTGGCACGGTGCTGGAGAGGGTTCTGGTTCTGGGGGTGCTAGTCCTGAGGGTATGGTCATGCCTTGTCCCGGTGGTCTTGGGGGTGGCACCGGTGCTGGAGAGGGTTCTCATTCTGGAGGTGCTATTTCTAGGGGTGCTAGTCCTGGGGGTACTGTCGTGGCTCGTCCCGACGGTCCTTGTGGTGGCAACGGTGCAGGAGAGGGTTCTCTTTCTGGGGGTGCTGTCGTGGAGCGTCCAGGAGGTAGCCGTAGTGCGTCTAGAGGTTCTGGTGTTAGCAAGGAGTAGCAGCTGCACGCGCCGCCGGTGTCTGCCCCTTCGCCTCCTGGGTCTTCCCTCCCCTGTCCGCCCGCCTGTTCCTCCCGCGGCGCTGCCTCCTCCGCTTGTCTACAACCATGTGTTTCCTCCGCCGGACTCGTCCCCCGCTCGTTTCCCCCCTCGTTCTCCTCCTGTGTCTCCTCCCTGATCCCCTGAACCGACCCCCCCCTCCCGCTGGTGGTCTCACCGTGCCTCTCGTGCTCGTCTTGTTTCTCCGGTCGAGTGCTCTCACCCTATGTTGCTCCGCTCTCACGCATCTCGTGCTCCTCTTCTACTGTCGCCTCCTCATTCGTCGCTTGTTGTCTCTCCACCTCCTCTCTCTGACTTCCTCCGTGCCGCTAGTCTGCTCGTTCCTCGCATTCTTGCTTCTCTTGTTACCGACCCTTTTGTTCCAGTCTCCACTCTTGACGCTCTTGTCGCTACCGTCACTGAATTTCCCTCTACATGCCGCCTTGACTACGCCACTGCTCTGGTCTCTGACACTGCCGGTCCTCCGTCCGTCGGGGGTGCATCTGCCCTTGGCAGTGACGTCCTAGAGGACCGGCAGTACGTACTAGCTTTCCTGTCCGAGGCCGCTCCCCATCTCTGCTCCATGCTGCTAGTCCCCGAGGGTGACGCATATGCCCTTGACATCCCGACCCCTCGCACTTATGCTGAGACGACCTCGGGACCCTGTGCCTCTCAATGGATAGCTACCATGGACGCGGAGATGGCATCTTGGAGATCCACCGGCACCTACGTCGACGCAGCTCCCCCACTTGGGGTGAACGTAGTCGATAGCCGGTGGCTCTTCAAGATGAAGCGCCATCCTAGAGAACCGCCGGTGTTCAAGGCACGCTACGTTGCAAGAGGCTTCAGTCAGCGCGAGGATGTTGACTTCTTCCAGACCTTCGTCTCTGATCCCGAAGATGACCACTCTTCAGGTGCTGCTACACGTAGCAGTACAGCGTGACTACAAGCTGCACTCAGTCGACCTCTCTACAGCATTTCCTCAGGGCAGTCTGCACGAGCAGGTCTACCTGCACCGCCCGCCAGGCTTCACCGGCACCTTCTCCCCTTGGACCTAGTGGCTTATCCGACGCCCGGTTTACGGCCTGCGGTAGGTGCCCCATGAGTGGCACGATACGTTGCGTGCTACGTTAGCTAATCTGCAGTTCTTCCTGTCCTCTGCAGACCCTTCGCTCTTCGTTCGTTCAAGCCAGACCCCATTCTACATAATTGTCTACGTAGACGTCCTGGTCTTCGCTACAGGACATAGAGACGCACTGGTCTTCATGAAAGCTGAGCTACTGAGGAGACACACCTGCATTGACCTAGGAGAGCTGCGCCGCTACCTTGGCCCGCAAAATCTCCAGGGACAGAGCAGCGCGCACCATCACTCTCACACAGTCATACTTGGTGCGCCAGTTCCTTCAGAGGTTCGGTCTTCAGTTCTCCTCCGCAAAGCCCACACCTCTGCCAGTAGATGACAGGCTCTCGGCTCCATTTCCAGAGGAGCCGGTAGAGCCTAGTTGTCCGTACGCAGAGCTGGTGGGTTGTCTCATATACCTCATAACTTGCACTTGTCTAGATCTCGCATACCCTTTCGGCATCCTGGCTCGCTTTGTGGCGACAGGCAGACACCGACCACAACACTGGTCCGCCGCTAAGAGGGTTGCGTTATCTAGCAAGTACATCGGGCATGGGGCTAGTGCTAGGAGGATGCAGACTAGTGGCCCTTTCAGGGCACACAGAAGCTTCGTGGGCGGACGACGCTGAGACGCTCAGGTCCTCCCATGGCTATTGCTTTAGCCTTGGTGCAGGTGCCATCTCGTGGAGGTACACCTACTCGTCGTCTGTTGCACAATCTAGCTGTGAGGCTGAGATCTACGCTGGTGCCATGGCGGCACAGGAGCTCCGCTGGCTGACTTTCTTGCTCACTGACTTAGGCGAGCGGCCTAGCTATGCCCCGGTCTTGTACGCTGACAACAGGGCCATGATTCCCCTGTGTCAGGAGCCTCGACTGGAGGGCAGAGCGAAGCACATCCAGCTGCGATACTTCTTCCTGCGCGAGCTACAGCAGCGCCGCCAGGCCCGCGTAGTACACTCGGCCTCCAGTGCCAACACAGCTGTTATCTTTACTAAGGCGCTTGCGCCTAAAGATCATCAGCGGCACTGTGTACAACTTGGTATAGTGTAGCTCCTCACTTGCTACGTCCTTGATTGTGTACTACTCTTTTTATATATTCTCCTTACTGGCCTTGTGGCTTTTCTTCTAGTGGCCGGACTAGTCGTGCTGCCCTGGTTTGCTCTTGTCTAGTTCGTACTCTTCTAACTGGTCTTCACACCCTTGTCTCTGAGGTTGGACTAGTAGTGCCGCCCTGAGTTGCGTGTCTCTAGCCTGGCACTGCCCCTTTTCTAGCCTAGGGGGTGTGTCAAACATACCGTAATCCCCCGTATATAACACCCGCCGAAATAGTCACTCCGCGGGTGGTTTATGCGGGGGAGAGCTTATGATAGGGTGAATTTAGGAGAGCACCCGCTTTTCGGGGGTTGCATTTTACATAACACCCTCCTCGTTTTATGCAGCAAAGAACAGTATTTCGTAGTTTTTCAAGTTCAACTCGATTGAGAAAAAAACGAACAGGATGAAAAACGCAATGTCAACTACCATTAGCAGCGAAAAAACGGGCAGAAACATCAACACAAGTTGCAGCGCGAAATGGAAATGTCTATCAGAATAATTGAATGATGGTAAAGTGAGAGTACACACAAATATATCTAAGTTTTGTATCCTCTAAGAGGTGACTCTATACAGTCTATACAAACATGACAAATACACATGTTTGACACACCCCCTAGACTGCATAGGGGAATACCCTAAACAAGCAGCTCAGGGCGGCACTACTAGTCCAACCTCTGAGGCAAGGGTCTGAGCGACCGGTCAGAAGGAGTACAGACAAGGCAAGCACAAGAGCAGGGCGGCACTACTAGTCCAGCCACTGGGAGAGGACACAAGTCCAGTCTGAGTATACATATAAAGGACAGTACCAAGTCAAGGTCCTAGCAAGTGAGAGGCTACAGGAACTAGACCAAGCTGTACACAGTGCCGCTGATGATCTTTAGGCGCAAGCGCCTTCGTAAAGATATCAGCCGTGTTGGCACCTGAGGCCAAGTGTACTACGCGAGCCTGACGTCGCTGCTGTAGCTCACGCAGGAGGAAGTACCGCAGCTGAATGTGCTTCGCTCTGCCCTCGAGTCGAGGCTCCTGACACAGGAGGATCATGGCCCTGTTGTCAGCGAACAGGACCGGGGCAGAGCTAGGTCGCTCACCAAGGTCAGTGAGCAAGAAGGTCAGCCAGCGGAGCTCCTGTGCCGCCATGGCACCGGCGTAGATCTCAGCCTCACAGCTGGACTGTGCAACAGACGAGGAGCGAGTAGCTCTCCACGAGACGGCACCTGAGCCAAGGCTGAAGCAGTAGCCCTGGGTAGACCGGAGTGTCTCAGCGTCGTCTGCCCACGAAGCGTCTGTGTGTCCTGTAAGGACCGCTGGCCTGCGTCCTCCTAGCACTAACCCCATGCCCGATGTACTAGCAAGATAACGCAGAACCCTCTTAGCGGCAGACCAGTGCTGCGGTCGGTGTCTCCCTGTGGCCACAAAGCGAGCCAGGATGCTGAGAGGGTATGCGAGATCTGGGCGAGTGCAAGTCATCAGGTACATGAGGCAACCCACCAGCTCTGCGTAGGGGCCGCTGGGCTCTACCAACTCCTCAGGCACTGGAGCGGAGAGCCTGTGGTCTACAGGCAGAGGGGTGGGCTGTGCAGAGGAGAACTGAAGGCTGAACCTCTGAAGGACCTGAGTCAGGGTGATGGTGCGCGCAGCTCTGTCCCTGGAGATCTGCAAGCCAAGGTAACGGCGCAGTTCTCCAAGGTCAGTGCAGGTGCGTCTCTTCAGCAGCTCTGCCTTCACGGAGGCCAGCGCGTCCCTGTCTGCTGTGGCAAAGACCAGGTCGTCGACGTAAACGAGGATGTAGAACGGAGTCTGGCCAGCACGAACGAAGAGTGAAGGGTCTGCAGAAGACGGAAAGAACTGCAGGTCAGCAAGCGTAGCACGCAGAGTGTCGTGCCACTCACGGGGAGCCTGGCGCAGGCCGTAGACGGGGCGCCGCAGGAGCCACTGGGTCCCAGGAGGGAAGGTGCCAGTAAAGCCCGGAGGGCGGCGCAGGTAGACCTGCTCGTGTAGGCTGCCCTGAAGGAAGGCAGTGGAGAAGTCGAGGGAGTGAAGCTCGTAGTCACGCTGAGCAGCTAGGTGTAACAGAACCCGAAGAGTAGTCATCTTTGGGGTCGGAGCGAAAGTCTGGAAGAAGTCCACCCCCTCGCGCTGACTGAAGCCTCTAGCCACATAGCGCGCCTTGAAGACAGGCGGCTCTCCAGGAGGGCGCTTCACCTTGAAGAGCCAGCGGCCATCGACTACGTTCACCCCAGGTGGGGGAACTGCGTCGACGAAGGTGCCGGTGGATCTCCAAGATGCCATCTCCTGCTCCATGGCAGCTATCCACTGCGAGGCCCAGGGTCCCGAAGTCGCCTCAGCGTAAGTGCGAGGGGTCGGGATGTCGAAAGCGTCTGGGTCACCCTCAGGGACTAGCAGCATGGAACAGAGATGGGGAGCAGCCTCGGAGAGGAAAGCAAGCTCGAACTGGCGGTCCTCCAGGACGTCACTGCCAAGGGCAGGAGCACCCCCGACAGACGGAGGACAGGCAGGGTCAGAGACCAGAGCGGTGGCGTAGTCAAGGCGGCGGGTAGAGGCGAAGTCAGCGACAGCAGCGACAAGAGCGTCAAGGCACGAGACTGGAACAGACGGGTCGGTAACGAGAGAGGCAAGGACCCGAGGAACGAGAGGATGAGCGGCACGAAGGTAGTCGGACAGCGGGGGGGGCGCAACAACAAGGGAGGACGGAGGAGGCGACGGCAGAAGGGGAGGACAAGACGCGTGTGTACGAAGCAACATAGGGTGGGAGCGCAGGACAGGCGAGGCAGGACGAGCACGGGAGGGACGGTGAGACCAGACGTGCGATGGAGGAGTCGGGTCAGGAGACAGGGGAGGGGACACAGGAGGGGAACGAGGGGGGAGACGGGCCGGGGACGAGTCCGGCGGAGGGAAAACAGGGCCGTAGACAGGAAGAGGAGGAGACGGTCGAGGAGGAACCGACGCAGGGTCGGGGGACGGAAGGCCGAGCAGGCGAAGGGCGGACACCGGCGGGGACTGCTGCTGCGGCGGCACAACGGCGACACCTGGACCGCAAGCTGCTCCTCGGCTACCACCGGCACTCTCCACACCCGCACCTCCAGAGGGACCACCCTCAGGGCGACCGGGACGAGCACCCCCAGAGTCAGCGAACGGGGGCTGCGACTGCGGCGGCGGCGGCGACGGCGACGGCTGCAATGGCGGCAGGGACGGCGGAGGAGGGGACTGGGGAGGGGACACCTGGGGAGGGGCAGCCGGCGAGGACTGCACTGGAGGGCCACCAGAGTCAGAAGACTCCTCAACCGGGTCCACGGACGGAAGGGGGGTGACATGGGAGACACCAGAGGGGGCGGGACGGGGAGGAGGAGGAGGAGGGGCAGGGACTACCGGGGAAGGGGTGACCAGGAACAAGGGGGGGGTAACCGGGGGACCACGGTGGGGGAAGCGGCGGTAGTAGGAGACGGACTCGTCAAATGTGACGTCACGAGAGTGAAAGAAGCGGTGAGACGGCGGGTGGTAAAAGTGCCAGTCGGACGCGTCAAGGGGAAAACCGAGGAAGACGCAGGGAAGGGTGCGGGCAGTGAGCTTGTCCGTGCCGGAGGCACGGACGTGAGCAAGGCAGCCCCAGACGTGGAACGGAGACGCGTCACCAAGAGACCCAGTCCACAGACGGGTCGGCGAAACCTGCGGCTGCTGAGGGTGCGGCCACAGGTAGAGAAGCGTAGCGCACAGCGAACGGCCACAGAAAATGGGGTGCACCGGCATGGACCATGGAGGTGCGAGCGACCTCCATGACCAAGCCGATGCGTCGCTCAGCGACCCCATTCTGCTGTGGGGAGTCCGGTAGGGTGAACGTCTGGGTGATGCCCTCCGCACGACAAAAGCGACCAAGGACACCTGAGGCAAACTCGCCACCACGGTCTGAGTGAAGACGCAAGACAGGGAGACCGCGGTGGACACGCGCAGAGACAAGCCAGGGGATGAGGGCGCCAGGCACGTCGGCCTTGCGCTCCAGGGGAAAGACTGTGGTGTAACGAGTGAAGTCGTCGACAAGCACAAGGAAGTAGCGCTCGCGACGCGGCCCAGGGACGGGGGCGGGGCCCCAGACGTCCAGGTGCAGGGTCTGCAGCGGCGCGGCGGTAGGGGGGAACGAGGAGGAGTGAGGGGCACGGCGAAGCCGACCCTCGACACAAGGCGTGCAAGGTGGAGCTGGGGAGGAGGGAAACGCGGGGAGTGAACCTGGGAGACCAAGGACAAGACCGTGCTGGGACATGTGACGCAGACGCGGGAGCGCAGGGTGACCTAGGCGGTGGTGCCACAGGAGGGACGGGTGAGTGAGGGAGCGACAGGAGCAGGCAGCAGCAACCTGGGTAGACACAGCCACCTGAGGGGGCGCTCCAGCCGGGGGGGGCACGGTGTCCAGAGTGAACAGGCCGGACACCGGGTCCCGGGGGAACGTGGACAGGGGGGCACCAGTGGCGGCCTCGGTACAGACAGCATACCGCTCGTGACCAGGGAACGTAGTGGTGACGCCAAGGTCCTGGAGGCAGCCGACACCAACTAGGTTCCTGGAGAACGAGGGGATATGCAGACCTGTAAGAGAGCCCGAAGGAACCGCCGGACAGGGAAGGGTGGTGGAACTGCGGGCGACTACCGGACCGCCGGAGGGGTCAGCAAGAGAAACGGCAGCAGGAACAGGAAGCGGCGTCAGGGTGGTGGAGTCGCGGAAGAAACACCGAGAGGCGCCAGAGTCCAAGGTGAAGGAAAGCGAAGCCGAGGGGTCTGGCGACGGAACGACGGCAGAAGCACCAAGACTACACAAAACAGGGGATCCGACGCCTGACGCAGCAGGGGAGGCTAAGCTAGGCACACCTACACTAGGCAACAGTGAGTAATAAGTCGGAAGCACACTAGAGTCATCAGCATACATCACATGCAGAGCAGAAACAATGGCATCCATGTCCATATCAAAGATCTGAATCTGACGACTAAGCAAACTGTGCCAGTCCGGGAGGTCTGGCGACGGGCCGAAACGCTGACGAAAGAGATCGTCCAGGCGACGAAAGCAGCGGGGAGTGGAGTGACCGATCTTACCGCAAACGAAACCGCGGCGAGGACCGGTCTGGATCTGGTACTGACAACGCCCGCCGGCAGAGCCACCACGCGGCACACCACCACGCGCCCGTCCACCGCCAGCGCCGGGCCACCCTGGCGGGAGAACACTCGTCTGCCGCGTCTGCGACGGCTGCTGCGAAGGCTGCGACTGCGGCGGCTGCTGCGGCTGCTGCAACTGCAGGGGCGGCGACTCAGCTGGACTGGGCAGGGTCCCCTCGTCCGCTCCAGCACCAGGCGACCCGACCCCACCACTACCCCCGCCCGCACCCCCGCCGCCCCCTCCGCCGCGCCCAGCCTTGGGGCGGCGGCCCTTCCCAGAACGGGCCTGCGCTGCAGCAGCAGTCTCAGCCACTGCGGCAGAGCCGTCGCAGAAGGTACACTGAGCGGGGGCACAACCCTGAAAGATAGGGACCGGCACGACACCGCTCGCCTGGGCGATGGAGCGGTGACGGGTCTCTATCACAGTCAGGGTGTCGACAAAGTCAGTGAGGGTGAGGTCTGCGGGGTGAACACTAAGGAAGCGGTCGCGGGCGACAGCAAGGCGGTCAGGGAGGCGGGTGGCAAGCAGGTAGAGGGTAGAGGTAATGGGCGGCTGGTGGGCTCTAAGCTGTGCGTCAGTGCAGGCGGCGCGCCAGGTCTCCTCTATCGAGCGCAGGTGGGCAGCGAGGTCAGAGACAGTGGGGAACGAAGCAAGGTCAGGAAAGAGCAGCGGGAGGATCAGGCGACCCACCGAGGCAGCCGGAGGGGTGGAATAGCGCTTGATGACAGCATCTAAGTATGCCTGAGCAGTAGTGAGGGACCTAAAGCGAGGACGCTCGGACGGGGGGAGGGCGTTGCTAATGGCAAGCTGGGCGACAGCATCGCGAGAAAGCCAGACAGAGCGCGCACGGGCAGTGGCAGCAGTAGACTCACGCTAAGTGGGTGTGGGGTCAGCGGGCAGAATAGCAGGAGGGTCTGGGCAGGGGAGCGTACCGTCAAGGTGTGCGGAAAGCGGTTCACCATCCTGCCGCTGGCCAGTGAGTTGGCGGCGGAGGTCGGCAAGCCACGCCTCGAACTCTAGGGGCTGACCTTCAGCGTCGAAGCGAAGCTCCGCCGCCATCAGGAACAGTCCAGTGCTGTGCAGGGCGGTGCAGTGCGGTGCAGTGCGGTGCAGTGCGATACAGTGCGGTGCAGTGCGGTGCAGTGCGGTACAGTGCGGTGCAGTGCGGTGCAGTGCGGTGCAGTGCGGTACAGTGCGGTGCAGTGCGGTGCAGGGCGGCACGGATCTGGGCGGGGTGGGGGGGGGGGGGGGGGGGGGGGGGGAACTGTACCAGTGAGGAGGACGGGGCCGGGGCTGGCCCGACGGGGCCGGGCGGGCGCGACGGGGCCGGGCCGATGCGACAGGGCCGGGACGGGGCGACGGGGCCGAGCGGGCGCGACGGGGCCGGGCTGGGGCGACGGGGCCGGGCGAGTGCGGCAGGGCCGGGCCGGTGCGACGGGGCCGGGCGAGCGGGACGGCGGCCGGGCTGGTGCGACGGGGCCGGGCGGCTGTGACGGGGCCGGGCAGGGTGCGACGGGGCCGGGCGGGTGCGACGGGGCAGGGCGGCTGCGACGGGGCCGGGCGAGCGCGACGGGCCGTGGAGGGTGCGACGGCGCCGGGCAGGCGCGACGGGGCCGGGCGGCGGCGACGGCGCCGGGCGGGCGCGGCGGGGCCGGGCGGCGGCGACGGGTACGACGCGGCCCAGGAGGGGCGCTACGGGGCCCAGGAGGGGCACGACGGGGGGGGGCCCAGGAGAGGCGCTACGAAGCCCAGGAGGGGCGCGACGAGGCCCAGGAGGGGCGCTACGAGGCCTGAGAGGGGCGCGACGGGGCCTGGGAGGGGCGCGACGGGGCCCAGGAGGGGCGCTACAGGGCCCAAGGAGGGCGCGACGGGGCCCAGGAGGGGCGCTACGGGGCCCAGGAGGGGCGCGACGGGGCCCAGGAGGGGCGCTACGGAGCCCAGGAGGGGCGCGACAGAGCCCAGGAGGGGCGCTACGGGGCCTGGAAGGAGCGCGACGGGGCCCAGGAGGGGCGCGACAGAGCCCAGGAGGGGCGCGACGAGGCCTGGGAGGAGCGCGACGGGGCCCAGGAGGGGCGCTAGGGGGCCTGGGAGGAGCGCGACGGGGCCTGGGAGGGGCGCGACGGGGCCTGGGAGGGCGTTACAGGGCCCAGGAGGGGCGCTACGAAGCCCAGGAGGGGCGCGACGAGGCCCAGGAGGGACGCTAGAGGGCCTGGGAGGGGCGCGACGGGGCCTGGGAGGGGCGCGACGGGGCCTGGGAGGGCGCGACGGGGCCCAGGAGGGGCGCTACGAGGCCTAGGAGGGGCGCTACGGGGCCTGGGAGGAGCGCGATGGGGCCCAGGAGGGGCGCTAGGGGGCCTGGGAGGAGCGCGACGGGGCCTGGGAGGAGCGCGACGGGGCCCAGGAGGGGCGCTAGGGGCCATGAGCGGAAGCGGTAGGTGGGGGGGGGGGGGGGATCCTACCTACGCGTGATACCATATCAGAATAATTGAATGATGGTAAAGTGAGAGTACACACAAATATATCTAAATTTTGTATCCTCTAAGAGGTGACTCTATACAGTCTATACAAACATGACAAATACACATGTTTGACAATGTCAGCAAAGGTCAAGACTCGGGAGGATTTCGACCGTCGAATTCGCGGATTCTGTTGTGATTTGACTGTCTGAATCCTCCCGAGCGAAATCCTCCTGTCGAAGTCGCGGATTCTGTCGCGATCATGACGGTCGCAGGTGCTGCACAAACCTGGCCCTGACTATAGCACTCAGCAGGGATTGGCCAACGACGATTGGTTTGTGAGTTTCGTCGTAGCGGATGCTGTACCTCGCTAACAGTCGCTCCGCCCATTTTTGAACACACATGGCATAAAACACTCAAATTCAAATTGCATTTTACATAACACATGGGCAATATATTTTTCCGGGCCACTGTTAACACCCAGTCATTTTTTTAGTGAATTTTTATATACACCATAGGGTGTTATATACGGGGGATTACGGTATATGCATATGTTATTACAGGCTAGATAGGTGAATGCTCTTCGAGAGTATAACGCTAGCACAGAACTACCTTGTACAACCTATTCTAGTCATCTTGTTACTCTGAGACTTTAAACCCTGGAAAACAACGAATCTGAATTGCCAGCAAACAGTGTTGACAATGTGTAAAAATAAGATGTGCAAGCTTTAGCCATCCCCAAATATAGAAACATCGTCTGGGTGCTCATCCCCAGGCAAAGGGGGAAACGTCTTGGCAATATCCTTCAGCACCCCAGTTATCTTACCCACATCGATCTTCACTATACTCTCCCCATCCCCCTGCCCAAATGTAAGATAGTACCGGAGCCCACACGCATGTGCTAGGTGGTGGTAACACGCGTTGTTACTCTGATCGGGTCGGATCTCCAAGACGGTCATGTTTGGCCGCATGAAAATCATGTTTGCCATTGCTGCCCCGTGACCCGCTATAAGCAGCCTCGCTCTGCGGAACAGTGAACGAGCTGTAGGTGTAAAAATGGGAAGGTGGGTTGAAAGAAAGGTTCGGGGGGGGGGGGGGGTGGGGAAGAGGGAGAGAACAGTCACATGAAAAGGGATCGGATAATAACGGAGCCCGTATGCATGGACTGGGCGGTGGTAACACGCGTTGTTGCTCTGGTCTGGTCGGATCTCAAAGACGGCCATGTTCTGCCGCATAAAGGCCATGTTTGCTGCCATGGCTGCCCCGTGACCCGCGGTAAGCAGCCTCGCTCTTCACAACAGTGGCTGTGCTGGAGATGTAGAAATGGGGGATGGTGGGTTGAAATTAAAGTTTGTTGGAACATGGGGATCTCAGAGGTAGGATCCGCTGTAAGCAGCATCACTATTTGGAACGGTGCGCACGTTGCAGAAAAGGGGGAGAGTGGAGAGGGGGAGGGAGTCCAGGCAGAGAGGTTGGGTGATGAATGGAACAGGCATATTTGTAGGGCCAGCAATTGAGGACCATTGGTAGGTGCTGCTCAGAACCTTGAGAGCGGGTGGCCTACCTGTCAGCATGGGCATGAAGCCGTTCAGCACGTGAACCTGGTTCAGCAAAAACACTAACACAGCTGACTCATGCAGCTCGTCCCACCAGCACCCCTCACACAGCTGACAACATTCATACATCAGGCATCGGCAGCCTACCTATCACAACAGGTGGCCCACCTTTCAGCATGGGAAGCATGGGTGGCTCACCTTTCAGCATGGGAAGCATGGGTGGCTCACCTTTCAACATGGGAAGCATGGGTGGCTCACCTTTCAGCATGGGAAGCATGGGTGGCTCACCTTTCAGCATGGGAAGCATGGGTGGCTCAGCTTTCAGCATGGGAAGCATGGGTGGCTCACCTTTCAGCATGGGCACGGAGCCGTTCAGCACGTGAACCCGATTCAATGAAAACACCGTCACGGCCGACTCATACAGCTCATCCCAGCGGTCCAATGAGCGCTTGACACCTGGCCGTCGTACGAGCAGCACTGTCCAATCAGGCGGCACCGTGGCCGCCTCAGTCTGATTCACCGGATCAGCCAATCCTGGCCGTTGGATCCAGCTGGTGGGCGGAAAGATGGGGAGGCCTTGGGGGGCGAGGAGGAAGTGGGAGCGGAGGAGCGACCAGAGAGACGGGCTGGCCTTGCCACATGCCTGGTATAAGGGCTGGAGAGCGGAACGGCGGGGGGAGGGGAGAGGGGGAAGGGGGGGGGGGGGGGGGGTGGTAAAGCAGGGTGGAATGCGAAGCAAGAGCGAAGATGGGGAAAGCCTTGGGGGAAGAGGAGGAAGTGCGAGCGGGGGAAAGACCAGAGGGAGGGGGTGGCCTTGCCACACGCCTGGTACAGGGGCTGGGGAGTGGGGGGGAATGGGGAAACAGGAGGAACAGGGGAAGGAGGGAAGGAGGAAGTGGGGGGGAAGAGGGAAGCAGGTTGGAAGGGGGAAGTTAGGGAGATGGGAGAGAGTAGGGGAGAAACGGCCGGTAGTGGCTGGCAGGCAAGTATCCCTTCAAGGAGATGAAATCGTCCGACGATAACTACGAGGAGATGACAAGGATGATTTGCAAAGCGGTTTCCTACGAGGCTCGATAACAGTGATGGCATACAAGGGGGTTGCATATGCCTATGGTGAAAGAGGGTGTGAGGAAGTAAAAAAGAGCATAAGCCAGGTTCCTTGCATGACTTACCAGGTACACCTCATCCGCATAGAACAGCTCTCCGCGGCTTATATTGAGTCGGTTCATAGCAAACTGCTCCAGGCCTATGATGGGCTTCGAGATAGTCTCGTAAAAGTCCCACTGCACAGAAAGGAAAGAGAGATAGTGAGCACTTTCGGTTGAACAAATCACCATCGGACGAGCACCCAACAGGCGGTTGCTCCAGGCCTATGATGAGCTTGGAGATAGTCTCAGAGAATAGAAGTCCCACTGTGGGAAGGGGAGGGGGGTGATGGGAGGGAACGAGGGCATTGAGGGAGAGAGGGGAAGGACGTTCGTTTTCACACAGGTTTTGACGACAATGACAGATCTAGCAGCGCTGGACGCCGTACGGCTATCTGATACCTTACACGCCTACACCAGGTGTACCTGGTCTGGTCATGTACGGCGAGAAGTAAATGAAGCGTCCGGTTGACACCTGGACTGCTGCCCCTCGCACACGCCTACACCAGCAGAACCTGGTCTGGTTTTGTATGGCAAGAACTGCAGGTGTCCAGTTGAGACCTGGAATGCCAGTAGCACACACACCTACACACGCCTACACCAGGTGTACCTGGTCTGGTCGTGTACAGCGAGAAGTAAATGAGGCGTCCAGTTGACACCTGGACTGCTGCCCTCGCACACGTCTACACCAGGAGTACCTGGTCTGGTTTTGTATGGCAAGAACTGCAGGTGTCCAGTTGAGACCTGGAATGCCAGTAGCACACACACCTACACACGCCTACACCAGCCAGATGTACCTGGTCGGATATGGCCAGAAGAGGGATGGTGGGGTTGGCTGCCAGGAGCGAGCTGAGGAGGAACAGCTGGGGCGTCCACTCGATGAGTCCGTGGTAGAAGTTGCGGCCCTGGTAGTACACCAGGTTCACAACCCTCTTCATCTTGTGGACCTTCGCTCCCTTCTTGTACCCAAACTGCAAGTGCAAGAGAGTGAGACGGTGAGCAGATGAGTCCGTGGTAGAAGTTGCGGCCCTGGCAGTGTACCAGGTTTACGACCCCCTTGATCCTGTCGACCTGTGTGCCTTGCTTGTATTCAAACTGCAATTGTAAGAGAGTGAGGCGGTGAAGTGAACTGATGAGTTCGTGGTAAAAGCTGTGGCCCTGGTAGTACACCAGGTTCATGATTCGCTTTGTCTTGTCGATCTTCGCTCCTTCCTTGTACTCAAACTGCAAAACCAAAGAGGGGGAGAAGGCCAGGGCGGGGGGGGGGGAGGTGTATGAACCGAAAGGGCCACTCCAAGAGTTTTGAAGGGTCACACACACACACTGACACACCATGCATTGTCACATCCACACGCACTCACATCCATACATACTCACATTTCCACACACTCACCGGCGCATCGTTGTTGCACCCCTCCCGGTTGAAATGGGTCGTTTTGTTGAACACATGCCCCTCGTGGTCGATATACACTCCCCGCAGAAGGTAAATCTGGAATGTACCCGGCTCGTACCACCCGAAATCCGATTTGTGAGAGCAGCTCTCATCCATCCCCTCCGGCCCCACTGTCGTCAAATTCTCTTTTTTAGGGCAGTTTATAGGGATTGCCGGGCGGGCGAAGCCCTCATCCGAAATCTCATCCATCCTGCAGGCAGAGACTTCATGATTCGTTTCACATCTGCCCGGAAAATCCGGGCATCGGCTGCCCGTGCAGTTGAGAATCGCCTTTCGCTTGTCGTGCCCCACCCCTGAATTAACATGCACCTGTTTCATCTCTGACCGTTTCAATTCCTCACTCAACTCCCCACTCTCCACCACCCTCTCTCCCTCCATTTTCTTAATAGTCTTCTCATCTAAACTCGCCACCTCCTCCTCCTTCTCCCCCTCCCCATCGGTCTCATTCAGCGCCTTTAGAGTCACATCCGCCATAAGCTCAAGCGGAATAGCCATCTCCCCATTCCCCCCCCCGCTGTCCTCCTCCTCATCCCCCTCCATCCCATCCCCCTCCTCCCAATCCTCCTCCCCAACCGCCTCCAGCGGCGGCAGCAGATTAATAGACTCAAACTTTTCAGCCGACATTCGGGCACGCGTGCGATTGGCAATCAGCCTCAGCACATCAACGGCTTCCGTGTGGTTGAACTTTAACTCGGTGTCTTTAGACCCGTTGCCTAGGATCAGATGATAGTGCATCTGGGTGGCCTCAGCCAGGTGGTGGTAGCAGGGGTTAGGGTAGCCTCGGGGGCGGATTTCAAACACGCTGGCGTTGAGAGGCATGAAGACCATGTTGGCTAGGCCTGCTCCGTGTAGGCCCACGAATACCGCTGCTCTGTTGAACACTGTCTTGGCTGGGAGGGCGGACAAGGAGAGGGCAGTGGGAAGACAAGAAGCACAAGAGGTGGCCACACTGGTAGGCATGCTGGCTATGCCTTCTCCGTGCAGACCGACGAATACTGCTGCTCTGTTGAATACTGTCTTGGCTGGGAGGGCGGACAAGGCGTATGGAGTGGGAAGACAGGAGGCACAAGTGGAGTGGAAGGAATTGAGAGGCATGAAGACCATGCTGGCCAGGCCTGCACCATGTACGCCCACAAACACCGCTGCTCTGTTGAATACTGTCGTGGCTGGGAGGGGAAGAGCGGGGGGGTGTGGAGAGCAGTGGGAGATGGCAACACAGGACAGGAGGCACAAAGGTTAGCACGAGGGGGTCACAAACACTTCTGCTCTGTGGTAGGCACGAAGAGTCTGTTGGCTCGACTTGCTCTGTGCAGGCCCACAAACACTGCTGCTCTGTTGATTTCTGTCTTGGCTGGGAGGGGAGGGAAGACAGGAGGCAAGACAAGAGGTGGAAGGTTCAACGAGAGGGTGGTGTGACATTGGCTTGAGGACCACATTGGCTAGCCTGCCCTGTGGAGGCCCAAGCAGACTAATTGCACAGATCCGGGTGAATGCGGACCACACTTAACAGCACAGCAACCGCACCTTGGCTCCGCGGTAGGTTCCCATCAAAGACATACACCCTGGAGAGGTGGAAGATCTGCTTCATGGTGTCCTGTCCACCAATCGCCCAGCCTCATGTGCCTCGGGATGGCATTGAAACGCGGACTGCACCGTGCACTAGGCTCACCTTGAGTCAGCGGCAGCTTGCCATCAAACACATACACCCTGGAGGGGTGGAAGATCTGTTTCGTGGCATCCGCGAACCGGCCAGCCTTAAGTGACTTGAGTGGCCATTTAAACAGCATGGGGTACGTCAAATGAACCGCGAATTCAACACACCTTGAGTCAGATTCAGCTTGCCGTCGAACACGTAGACCCTAGAAGGGTGGAAGATCTGCTTCATGGCGTCCACCAATTGCGGGAAGCCAGCGATGCGCCGCTTGGACTTGTGGCGCCGAGCAATCACAGCCAGCCAGCTGGCGGGCAGCCGAGCCATCTGCTCGTCCGTCCATGGAGGGGGGTTGCTGCTGCTGGTGGTATTAGTGCTGCTGCTGCTGCTGCTGCTGTCACTAGAATCACCAGTGGTAGCCGTGCTGTTGCTGCCAATGCTGCTGTTGCCCCTGCTGCTGCCATTGTTTCGAGGAACGAAGCCCGGGAAGAACATGGGAAGCCCGTCGGGGGGCACGAGGTAGCGCCGCCTCAACTCTCGCCACATGCCCGGTGCTGCCCTGCCGCACGCTTGGAACACAGGCTGCAGGGAGACGGCATGGGGGGGGGGGGGTGCAGGAGCGGGAAGAAACAGAGAAGCAGGGATGGAGGCAGGAGGAAGAGCAGGGGAGAAGCAGGGTGGGGTGAGGAAGGGGGGGGACAGCCGGGGGAGGCTTCAGAGCATGAGGCAGAAATGTCCGGCCTATCGTACCTTGTTCAAGGACGTGTAGAGCATGCCTAACAGAGAGATCGTTGCATGCAAGAATGTGTTACATACATACGTACGGCATCTACCTGGTACGCCATCTCAGCTTACCTGGTACGCCATCTCAGCTTACCTGGTACGCCATCTCAGCTTACCTGGTACGCCATCTCAGCTTACCTGGTACGCCATCTCAGCTTACCTGGTACGCCATCTCAGCTTACCTGGTACGCCATCTCAGCTTACCTGGTACGCCATGTCAGCATGCAGCAGCATCTTCTGATTCCTATCCTCGACGAGAACGAGGTTCAAGTCCCGCGAGCTGATGCCCACGATGGGGTGCAGCACAGAGTCGTACATCTTTAGCTGTGCTGGCAGGGAGAAAGGGGGGGAAGAGGGATCCATTATAAGGTGATTCGATAGGATTGATGGGTTGCAACACGGAGTTGTACATGTCTAGCTGTGCTGGCAGGGAGCAGGGGGGGGAAACGGGATTCTTTATAAGGTGACTCCAATAACTAACGGGTTGCTTACAACACTGAGCCGTACATCTTTGACTCTGCTGGCAGGGGGAAAGGCGGATCCAATATGAGGTAACTCGATTAAACTGATGGGTTGCATTGTAACACTGTTCCGAACAGCAAAGAGACTTGCCTGCTTGCGGCTGACGGCAATGGGCATGCCCGGATTTTCTTTCAGCAGGGGGGCGAGCAGCAGGAAGTGGGGCACGACCTGGATGAGCGTGTGGAAGAAGCGCCCTCTTCTTTCCCCCTTCTGGAAGTAGGGAGACTTGCCTGCTTGCGGCTGACAGCAATGGGCATGCCGGGGTTGTCTTTCAATAACGGGGCGAGCAGCAGGAAGTGGGGCACGACCTCGATGAGCGTGTGGTAGAACGCCCCTCCCAGCTGGTACAGCAGCGACACGAGGCGATGGTAGTGCTGCACCGAGGTCTGGTTGGCGTGATAGGCGAACTGCAGGGGAGAGAGGGGAGATGGTGAGAAAGAGAAGGAGCGCATGTGATGAGGAGGAGGAAAAGAGGCCCCTCCCAGCTGGTACAGCTGCACGTGGAGAGGGGAACGAACGTTACGTGCAGACGAGCCCAGCAGAAGTGCAAGAGATGGGGCGGAGGGAGGGGATGGGGGGATAGGATATTTGACAGACAGACAGGCCTCCGTAGCCCACCTGGTTATCCATCTACCACTCCAGACAGGGCACAACCACATTGCATCTAAGTGAAACCACATTATAAGCAACGACCCTCACCTCGCCTCACTTTACATACCTCATCTCACCTTACCTCACCTCACCGCACCTCACCTCACCTCACCGCACCGTGCCTCACAGCACCGCGCCTCACTGCACCGCACCGCACTGCTCCTCACCTCTTTGTCCTTGAAGCACCCGTGGCGGAAGAAATGCAGCGACTCGTTAAAGAGCACCCCGTTACCATCCACATACACGTCTTTAATCTCAAAATACTGCGGCACAAACTTATCAAACCGCAGGTTATCCCCTGGGTGGGTACACCTCGGATCCGCCCCTTTCGCCCCAACCTCCTCCAAGTTCGACAGCTTTGGGCAATTCACAGGCTGGTTCGGAAACAGGTACTCCTCATCGACCAGGTTCGGAAAGAAGCAGGCCCGCACGTTCGGGAACGCCGAGCCACAGCTGTCCAGGCTCGGGCAGGTGCCGCCCTTGCAGTGCAGTTCTACCTCCTTCTGGTGCACGTTTCGGTGGTATTCCAGGAAGGTGCTATTCAGCTTGTTGCGGTAGATGCCGCGGGGCAGAGAGGAGGTTTTCAGCAGCCCTTCTGTGAAGGTGGGACGCAGAAGAAGTGTGGCACTGATGTGGTGTGGGGGTGGGGGGGGGAAGGGGGGAGGCGGGAGGGGGGGGAGAGGGATGTATAAACAGCAGGTTTAGGGGAGTAGCTATTCAGCTTGGAGCTGTTTTGCTGCGAGGGAGAGAGGATGTTGTCAGCAGCCTTTCGGTGAAGGTGGGACGAGGTGGTGGTAGGGCGTCAGCACTGATGCGGTGTGGGGGGAGGGGGGAAGGGGACGGGGAGGGAGGGGTAGGCAGACTGCAGGTTTGGGGGGAGGTGCTATTTTGTGTTGTTGCGGTATATGCCGGGGGGCAGAGAGGAGGTTTCCAGCAGGCCTTCTGTGAAAGAGGGACGTGCGGAAGTGTGACGATGATGTGGTGCGAGCGAGGGAGGGGAGGGAGGAGGGGGGGGGAGGAAGTGTGATTGAGCTTGTTGCGATGTGGTGTATGCCGCTGGGCAGAGGGGAGTTTTTCAGCAGCCCTTCTGCGAAGATGGGACGTGGCGGTGCGGTGGCGCTCATGTGAGGGAAAACGGGGAAGGGGGCAGGGGCGAAGTGAAGGGAGGGAGGGGTTGTGAGAGGGGGGATGGTATGGAGGGGGGATAAGAACTGAGGCACGGATAACAGAAAAGAGCTTGTTGCATTAGTGGGTGCAATCGACACATGGGGAGAAAGCGAGACACATGATGAGAAAGCGAGACTGACGCTGCAGTGTCCATGCCGGCAGTGGCGGCGGCAGCCTTGTCTGTGGCACTTCTCGAGGTCTGAGCGGTGCCGTCAGGCGGTCCCTCCACCAGCTGCAGGTTGAGCTGCTCCTCCATCTCCGCCACCCGCCCCAGGAGCAACTCATCGGACGACTGCGCCAAGACCGTCACTGAGGGGGATTGGGGGGAGGGGGAGGGGGAAGACGGGGGGGGAAGGTGGGTTACCATCCATCAATCAACTCTTCCGCAGCTGCAGGTTGAGCTGCTGGGCTGGAAGTTGGTCTCAAAAGTCAACTCGTGTCCATGTCAGACAGGACCAGCAGCAACTCATCGGACGATTGTGCCGAGACCACCGCTGAAAGGAATCGGGAGATACGCCATCAGGGATGAAGCCTTTTCTGAGCCACTGGGATAGAAGATGGTCCCAGTGACTATCGAATAATGAGACGGGATGTGCAACCGGCAAGGCCCCAGAGATTGGTCGAGCCAATCGAAGCGCGGTGGTCACATCAAGAACAAAGCGATTACTCGTAACTCCGTTCAAAGACATGCTACAGTAACGAGGCACCAGGAAATCGCGCGACTACGAGGTGACAACTATTGGGACGCTAAGAGTCGCCCAAGCGTTCGGAACCTGGCCAAGACGTACCTGTGAGGAGAGAGAGCCAAACGAAGTACCATGCCACGGAAGCCGTCCAGGCATCCATGAGGTGCGCGGTTAGCGCTTTCTAAAGTTGTCTCATAGACCAGGTGCGAATCGCAGAACCTAAGGGGTCTGTAATTTCTTCGGACCTAACAGATTATGCATGTCTGGGATGCCTTAGATGGTAGGCGAAGAGTTTGGTTGGGCCAGATAAGGGCGTGGTACATCCAAAGGCGAATCCGAACGGTATTCATTACATTGAGCTGGTTGCTCTTTTCGCAGACGTCGCAAGGACCTCGTGAAAGTGCCCGTTTCGCAGACGTCGCAAGTTTGGCGATGGGACCTCGTGAAAGTGCTCTACTTTGGTACACCTGACCAAACGGGAGCATTCGAACGGCAGTGGCGCCACCGTCCGAACAGGGAAAGGGAAAATCGCACGAGTCGCGCATATGACGCAAACAGGTGACGATAAGGGCGGGTCCAAATAGTTCAATTGGGGGTTCTGGACACGTTTTTACGAACTCCGGTACGACAACTGAAAACGATCCCAAAATCGTTTCCCCCCCAAACCGCGTCTCAGGGCGTGTCCAGCGCGTACGTTTTCAATTCCCTTATATGCGGTTCCGTGTGGTGCTCGGTGCTCCAACGTGGTGAAGAGCGGAAACCGTTTCTGACCGCGATGTATCCTACTTAACCTTGTTCCACGTAACGTAAACGTACGCGCTCGACACACCCTCACATTGCGAATGAAATAGAAGCTGGCGCCAACTGGGTGTGATCTGATATAGGAAGTGTCAATGAACTACAACGTGAGAATACAAGGTCGCTATTGCAATCAGGGCACAAGGTTATATAGGGGTTGGCGTGCTAGGGCGATAACCTCGGAACCAGGGCTGTCGTTATCAGGGCATTTTACTCTGATTCCCTGATTTCACAGGGTTTTTTTTTCCAACCCTTAATTTTCGGGGTTGGGCTTTTTTTAACCCTAACCTCTTCAGGGTTGTATGTTTGTGAACACTTAGAATTTCAGGGTTTGCGTTATCCTAAAACTGAGTTTTCGGGGAGTAACGCGTACGAACACTGAATACGACATACTTGCGGACCCTGAGTTTCGGGGAAATGGCCCCCTTACGTGTGATGGGTCCCAGTCCAATGAATGCGACCAGTAGGCGTCACGACGAGAATCTGCACTTGGCAACATTCCCGCCGTGTACACGTTGTATGTTGCCATTTCAGCAACATTTCCAACCGTTAAGTGTGGGATGGTGCACTCCGTCATGCCCCATCCTGGCATTCGTGACTCAGCACGCAGCAGACGAGGACAGAATATGCTGAGCGCTGCAATGACAGCCTCTGTATGACATCACAGAGCCAATCATCTCTATGCGTACGATGCCAGCACAGGTGCGTTCCGCCGTTGACGGTATCGCCATGGCAATGCGGATTCCTGGATGGGTTATGCACTGTCCATGAAAAGCGAAATCTGGGGTTTCTTGGTCCCCTTCCCATCTTCTTCACCAGCTTCTCCTACAACCCAGTTTCCTCCTTTTCTTCACATCGCAGATACGAGATGCTCCATTCTTCTTTCTCGTCCACTTTCGTCGCGCCTAGTTCTCGTTTCGATCATATCCACCGCTACTAGCCCTGGCGGATGTAGGAGAGTCTAGTGAGTCTCCCGCCGCCGATGATGGTTCTGGACTAGGTAGGGACCCCCCCGTGGAGGTCCGTAGATCCGCTCTAGATATCTTGCGGTCTCCCACCGCAGTCGCAACACCATCACAACCCGTATCTACTCCCGCTCCCTATGTACCTCCGCCAGCTGTCGCTTCATCTAGCCGGGGCCCTTGGGTTCCAGACTGCGAGACAGCCACGACCGTGCGTTACACGGTCGAGTGTGCTTCCACGATTTCATCTGGAAAAAAAGCACGCATCGGGAAGTACACCCAGAGCACGATAGTCCTCGGCGGGAAGCTACGTCGACCGTCGCCGCCTCGCACGTCGCCTGAACCTCAGGCCCCTGCTATTCTAGGTTCCGAGCCGCCGAAGCTCTCGAAGAAAGAACTCATCGAGCAGAAGCATCTCATCGCTGAGCACAAGTATAAGACCAGCTGGCTTCCATTTTTCCCTTGGCTTCTGCTAACAAAAACGAAAGACGGTTACCCTGCGTTGAAGTGCAGTGCGTGCAAGGCTTTCGGCAAAGAGACAACACCGTACTCCAACAGCCGCGACGGGGCACGTGACCTGCAGACGCAAGCGATGCGGTTCTACGAGCACACGTCAGCCCACGAAGTAGCAGTCAAGCGTCAGATGGAGATCGCCGAAGACATCGCCAGCACCCAGAGGTGCATGGAGAATTACGCGAGGACTGACATCGAGGGGAAGCGCGTCATGAGGCTCCTACGTTGCGTCGACTTCCTATGCAAGTGTGATGCACCCATCAGCATGTACCCGATGCTACTCCGCTTCATGGCCGAGCAGGAGACCCCAGACATTCCGCTGCAGTCTTACGGAGTCTACCTGACACGGTAATGCACTGATTCCAAATACACCATATCCTTCATTTATTTAATAGGGCTAACAACCTCCCTGTTGCTACGTCTGCTGCTATAGGTATGGCTTCTGTCAGCTCGTCAACAGCTTGGCATCCTACCTGCAGCGCCGACAAATGCACCACATTCTCGCCTCACCCTACCTCGGCATCAGCTGCGACGAGAGCACTGACCGTACTCGCGGTAAACATCTCATTGTTTATCTAACCTTCTTGCGTGCGCATTGTGTTGTCACAGAGTTTTTTGCTCTCTTGATCGTCGAAAAGTGTGACGCCGCGTCTCTCCTCGTCGTTCTTCTGGCTCACTTGCGAGCAACTGGCATCGATCTCTCCCGAATCACCGGCATGAGCATCGACGGCGCCTCTGTCATGGTCGGCCGAGATAATGGTCTCGTCGCCCGACTTCGCGAGCACATCCCCCATCTCGTCTCTTCGCACTGCATCGCGCACAGGTTAAACCGCTTGTCATTTCAGTCGCTTAGGTTTCCTACAACAGCTTGACTAAAGTTCCAGTGTGTGCACCATGTAGGGAAGCCCTGGTGGTGAAGGACGCCGCCACTGCTTCTCCAGACTTCGACATGGTCGACCTTGTGATTCGGACTCTGGACGATCTTCTAGGACGTTCATGTGTCTGGAGTCAACGCTTCAAGTACCTGCAGCGGGCAATACACAACACCAACCTTGAAGTGCAAGGAATTTACACTGTGCGCTGGCTTTCAAAGGGTGAGGCGGTGCGGTGCCTCTGTAAGGTCCTTGGCGGCGCTATTATTTTGTTTCATGAGTACGGGCATGACCTGTATGAAGTCGTCATCTGTTACAAGTTCCAGTTCTGCCTTTTTTTCCTGGCGGACATGCTCGGAGTGATGAATGAGCTCAACCTCAAATTCCAGAAGAGGGAGGTGAGCTTCTACCACTGTGCATGTTGTATTTGTTGTCCCATGCATGCACGTTTGAAATCACGCTCTGACTCCACTCCCTTGTCTGTCACTTCCACCAGGTCGATGTCACCGAAGTGACGAAGGACATCGTCGAGGCGACAGGGGACCTCCGCCACCGCTACCTGGAGTGCGGAGAGGTGTTCGGTGGGGGGGTCGAAGGCACGTGGCTTTTGGCTTTCTTGGCCGTCTACGGGCGCAGAGGGAACAAACGCGTAAAGGTGCGGGGCATCGACAAGGAAGGCAACCCAGTCACGCACACCTACACCATGCACGAGAAGCAGATCGACGGGCATGCCTTCCGCAGCAAGTACCCCGATTGCGGGCGGCTCTGCGCACAGTTCGCGAAGGACACGATAAGCTTCCTGAAGACGAGGATGCTGGACCTGAACAATCTCGCCTCAACGAAGCTCTTCCGCGTGTCGAAGTGGCCCCGGATGAAGCAGCAGAGAGAGAAGAAGCTGAAGGAGTACCTACATGGCTGCAGTGCCATTTTCGACAACAGGCTGCCAGGCTTTACCTTGCAAGCTGCGCAAAAGGAGCTGGTTACGTTTGCGCCACTGATGCTGAGCCACCATGCCGACGAGGGATTCCATCAAGGCCTGACGAACTACCTCGGCTCGACAGAGTCAACCTTGTGAGTGACTTCTGTTCGAAGGATGTTTGTTGCATGTTTTCGGGCGGGTTCTAATCTTCCCCTTGGAAGTTGTTGTTTTATCGCTTGTTGACTAGCTGCACTAATGCACTGGTCTTGTTCTTTGCACTCTGTTCCCCCAACCCTTTTGGCAAGCGCTGGCCCAACCTGATGCGCTTGTGGCAGGCGTGCGCTGTCCTGCTGCTTAGCACAGTGGAGTGTGAACGAGGCTTCTCGCGGCAGAACGTCATCAAGTCATAGGTGCGGAGCGTGTTGTGCAATGCGCGCCTCAGCGAGTTGATGGTCATTTCCCTGCTGCAGTATGAGATTGACTGGGAAGAGGCCCTTGAGTGTTGGCGCGAGAAGCTGAGGTGCCCTGCTAAGTCTGTTCTGTTTGCCTTAGTGGAGAGGAAGCGTAAGGCCAAGGCGATTGAGGGGGCAGAAGGGAGGGTGGAGGAGGAGGCAGTCCCCGACTACATGGGGGATTGGGCAGAGGATGAGGGAGAGGAGGGGGTAGAGGGGGGAGAGGCTCTTCATGAAGTGGAAGACAACCCGTTTCTGTCCGATGACGAGGCAGAGGACGAAGTGAACATGGATGGCCCATAATTTTAGTTAAGGGTAGCTAGTGGCGTGGAATTTTGTGAAGTCTAGACTAGATAGAGGACTTAACTGAATCTGTAGACTGGCGTAGTGGTGCTATTGCTAAACTACTAGCTGTACAATCCTAACATTCTCTTAACTGATTTTTTGCAAGTGCAATGCAACCCTGTTTGTGGCTAGCCAACCTTGGAGGTTTCAGGGTTGCATGTTCCAGAACACTGAGAAATCAGGGAAGCCAAAATTTCAACACAAGGCCCTCAGGGTAATTTTTTTTTTTCCATTCGACAGCTCAGGGGGCTTTTTTTTTTAACGTCAGCCCTCCTCAGAACGTGGGTAGGTTCGGCAATGTGGATTCAGTGCCGGACGTGACTCGGGAAAGGGTTGGGCCGGCAAATGAGGCCGAACGTGACGAGTCGAGGAATTTGGGTGTACGCG